AGCATCCAGGCCCAGAGTTCAGGCCACACGACCGACCAACAAAAAAGTAAATAAATAAAATAAAACCACAGGGGCTGGGAAGGTGGCTCAGTGGTAGAGCGCTTGCCTTGCATGCCTGAGGCCCTGGGTTCAATTCCTCAGCACCACATAAGCAAAAAGAAAAAAGCCGGAAGTGGCGCTGTGGCTCAAGTGGTAGAGCACTAGCCCTGAGCTGAAGAGCTGAGGGACAGTGCCCAGGCCCAGAGTTCAGACCCCATGACCAGACCCCAAAAAAATAAAAAATAAAAAAATAAAAATAAAATAAAACCATAGATACAAGTCTCAGTCCCTGTGAGTGGCTTAGTCAAATTAACTGATCTAACACCAGATACTCATACAGGAAAACCATTGCCCTACCATACCCATGCTGAACACAGGGGTGAGGGAAATTTGGAACAGTAGGAAGATGGGGAATCCCAACCACACAGAGATGAGCTCTGTCTCCAGAGTAGAGAGGAAAGGATGTAATAAGTGCTAATGCCTTTTAAAAATGCAAGTTGAGCCGGGCACCAGTGGCTCACGCCTGTAATCCTAGCTACTCAGGAGGCTGAGATCTGAGGATCGCGGTTCAAAGCCAGCCCGGGCAGGAAAGTGTGAACCTCTTATCTCCAACTAACTACCAGAAAACTGGAAGTGGCACTGAAACTCAAGTGGTAGAGCGCTTGCCTTAAGCTGAAGAGCTGAGGGACAGCACTCAGGCCCAGAGTTCAAGCCCCATGACCGACCAAAAAAAAAAAATGCAAGTTAAGCAGGGCACCACTAGCTCACATCTATAATTCTAGCTACTCAGGAGGCTGAGATCTGAGAATCACAGTTCAAAGACAGCCCAGGCAGAGAAATCTCCAAGACCCTTATCACCAGTTAACAACCAAAAAGCTGGAAGTGGAGTTGTGGCTCAAGTGATGAGTGCCTGCCTTATGCAAAAAAAGCTAAAGAAAAGTATCCCAGGGCTGGGAAGGTGGCTCAGTGGTAGAGCGCTTGCCTTGCATGCCTGAGACCCTGGGTTCGATTCCTCAGCACCACATAAGCAAAAAGAAAAAAGCCAGAAGTGGTGCTGTGGCTCAAGTGGTAGAGCGCTAGACTTGAGCTGAAGAGCTGAGGGACAGGACCGAGGCCCAGAGTTCAGGCCCCACGACCAGACCAAAAAAAATTTTAAAAAGAAAAAGAAAAAGTATCCCAGCTTTGGATTCAAGCACACACTGTACTAGTACTGGCACACACACACAAAAAAACTTTGCAAAGATGCCAACAGATATTAGTGTACTAATATTTTTATACTCATTAATAAAATAATCTAGAGGAACTTCAAATAACCCACTGACAGGGAAAGAATGCATCACATGTACTTTGCCAGGTTCAAGCATTTAGAATTTCACCTTTGGCTTGAAAAAATATTGCAAAGAGACACTAGTAAAACTCAAGATCCCATGCCAGGTGCCAGTTTGGGCAGCAGTTCAGCACTAGTGTTCAGGGTGGTGCAGCAAGTTGCCCACTTTTACTTAGGCTTCAAGGTCCAGTAACTTCACAACTACTGTGATCTTTTTCTGCCCAGTGTGGTTATACTGAGAAACCACTGTATTTATCCTTGAAGGAAGAGAGATTTCTTTCTCTAATGGTTGTGGTTCTGTGCTAATTCCTGACTTGTACAGGCAGTTTGTCTGTATTTAGGAGAGGAACTCCAGGCCATGCTGAGTACTTATAAGCAGCAAGTCAAAGCTTTTGTACTTTGCTCAAAAAGTTGTTAATGCTGCCAGGTACCAGTGGTTCACACGTGTAACCCTAGCTGCTACTCAGGAGGCTGAGCTCTGAAGGTCACAGGTTGAAACTAGCTTGGGCAGGCAAGTCAATGAGACCCTTATTTCCAATTAACCACCAAAATGCCTGAAGTGGAGCTGTGGCTCAAGTGGTAGAATGCCAGCTACCACTGAAGGACAGTATCCAGGCAGAGTTCAAGACCCAGAACAATGACAAAAATAAAATGTAAATGTACCTCTTAGTAATGAAGTTCAGTAAAGGACTGGCCATCCCACTGCAGCCACGGAAATGTTCTCATGTTCATTTTAGTCCCAAGCCTCAAGTACTCTTCACCCACAAGCCACAGTGAGATGAATTTCCATTAAATACTGCTGGAGACAATCTGCCCCAACTGTATCATAAACCAAAGCTACTTTCTCAGTTTCTTGTCTATATTTCCTCCCTTAAGGTAGGTTATTACATCAGCACAGAACAATTATTCCAATAGCAATAGTGAGTGAAAGACAAAGGGCTAGTTACCTAATTATATAACCACCACTGGCTTCATTTCTCAGGCAAGCTGTTAAAGTCACTTATCCACAATGTTTGTCAATATTTAACACCATGGGGAAAGTACTTTCTCCGGCTGCATGAAAGGCAGCAAAGTTCTGAATTGGCATGAGTGTTTTAAAATTACATATATAATTACATTGAGGCTTCATCCAGGGCTTCCGCATGCTAGGCCAGTGCTCTACCATTGAGCAAATCCTTCAGTAATATAATTGTATTTTTTGTTGGCTGTGGGGTTTGAACTCAGGGCATGGGTGCTGTCCCTGAGCTTCTTTTGCTCAAGGCTACCACTTGAGCTGTAGCTCCACTTCTAGCTTTTTTTGCGTATGTGGTTCTGAAGAATCGAATCTTGGGCTTCATGCATGCTAAGGAAGCACTCTACTATTAAGCCACAATTCCAGCCCTGCAATTTTCTGTGTGCACGTGCATGTGTCTCAGGTGTGGGGCCTAGGTGCTGTCCATAAGCTCTTCAGCTAAAGGCTATTGCTCTGCCACTTTGAGTCACAGCACCACTTCCTGTTTTCTGATGGCTAATTGGAGATAAGTCTCAACAACTTTCCTGCCTGGGCTGGCTTTGAACCGAGATTCTCAGTTCTCAGCTTCTTCAGTAGCTAGGATTATAGGCATGAGCCACTGGCACCTAGGTTGTGATTTTTTTCTTTCATTTTTGGTTGGTTGTAGGGCTTGAACTTTGAGCCTGAGCATCGTCCCTGTGCTCTTTAGCTCCACTCTACCACTTGAGCCACAGTTTTTCTGGTGGTTCAGTGGAGGTAAGAGTCTCACAAACTTTCCTGCCTGGGCTGGCTTTGAACTGCAACCTTCAGATCTCAGCCTCCTGAGTAGTTAGAATTACAGGCTTGAGTCACCAGCACTTGGCCATTTTTTCTTTATTTTTTTTTTTTGTCGGTTGTGGGGCTTGAACTCTGGGCTTGGGTGCTGTCACTATGATCTTCAGCTCAAGGTGAGCGCTCTACCACATGAGCCACTTCTGGTTTTCTAGTGGTTTATTGGAGATTAGAGTTTCATGGCCTTTCCTACCTGGGCTAGCTTTGAACGATCCTCGGATCTCAGACTCCTGAGTAGCTAGGATTTCAGGCGTGAGCCACCAGCAACCGGCTTTTTTTTTTCTTTTTTAAATATGTTCTCACTGTGTTACCTAGTCTGCCCTTGCATCAGTCTCCTGAGTAGCTGCGATTATATCCCAGCTAATTGAAAACTTTTGAAGTAGAAAGTTGTGTCTGAAGATTATCACTTTATCTCTACAATTTAGAAGGCTCATCTACATATCACCGACACCTTTCTTGTTGGTGGTTGTTCCTTCTGATTTTTTTTGGAGACTGGATATTGTTGTGTGGCCCACTTTGGCCTGGGACTCCCATTCTCCTGGTTTGGCCTCCAGTGCTGGTCTAACTGGCATCTTCCTTTTTTTTTAATTCTTGACTGGGACTCATATTTGTTATCTGATGCTTTTGCTTACTGGCTGACTCTCAACCACTGGAGCTATGCCTCCAACTTTTTTTATTTTTTAATTAGTCCTAGGACTTGAACTTAAGGCTTGGGGTCTGTCTCTAGCTTCTTTTGCTCAAATGTAGTACTCTATCATTTGAGCCACAGTGCCACTTCTGGCCTTTTCTCTTTACATATCACTGAGGAATTGAACCCATGCCTTTTTATACATGTCCCATGAGACAGCATAGCCACTGATGTGTTGCTATTGGACCTAGAGCAGCAGAATGAGAGCTACTGGGTCACTGCCATTCAGTGCTGACAAAGCCAGTTGGCCATTTGTACTTAAGCTTCAAGGTCCATGGCTCTGTTTGCTGCCATTTGGGCCATTTTTCCTTTTTAACTGTTATGAATTACAATGATGCTGCTCTCAGGTGAATGTGCTTGTTTGACGCTAGGTCTCTTCATCTCCAGGGTATGAACCGAAGGACTGCAACAGCTCACTCAGGTGAATGTTTGCATTTTTCTAGAACCCAAATTCGTTACTCCATCTGAAGTCCTACCAGGACTGGAGGAAAGTTCCAGCTTCTCCAAACCTTTGTCAGTTGCTAATGACATGTTTTTAACTCTGCCCAATTGCATGGGTGAGAATTAGTTTTATTTTCTTTTCCTGGATGAATAATGAGGTTGTGGTGCTTTCCATGTGCTGATTGGCCAACTGAGTGTCTTCTTTGAGGATTTTGATTCAGTCTTTGCCAATATTTGGGAGGCTGGATGGATTACTTGAGCCTAGGAATTTGAGACCAATCTGAGCAACAACAGAAGAGTCTCAAACTCCCCCACCCCCTAAATGTCCACGGTATGTAGGAAGGATTTTTCACATTCTTCGACTTTTTTGTGGGGACTCTAATTGTAGTTTTTGCTTGGGTTGTTTCATTTCTGAGCATTTAGTGAGGTGATTCTGAATGAGAGAAAATCTACTGCAAGGTGCCCAGCGCTTTTCTTCTACTGTGTAGCACAATGAGTCAGGACAACTGAGAACAAGGAAGGACAGATCCTTGTGAGGGCGGTGAGCTCCTGAGACCCTGCCACCACCTTTGCCTCCTGGAGCCCCCAGCTCGTGGTTCTGCCCCTTTTTTTGTGGGTACCCTGGCAGGGTAAGGAACAGGTGGTGAGAAGCAGAAAAGACAAGGTATGGTTCACCCCAGGGCTGAGACCGGCCAGGTGCTTGCTTTATTTGGACAGGAAATGCTAGTGTAGGACTTGGTTTCATCCTTTCTATGTTCTGAAGGCAGCTAGGAGCAGGGCCCAAATTTAGAAAAATACTGTTTAGATGTCATCATCTAGCGGAAGTAGTTGGGACACTCGTGGGCAACCAGGTGCCAGGCTCGATCAAAGGCTTCCACAACAGCCGGCTCCAGGGGCCCTTGCTCAGTGGCTGCCAAGTTCTGGTTCAGCTGCTCTGGGCTGGACATGCCCAGGATGACCGCATCCCCGTGGGCAGCCTGCGTGGGGAAACAGCCAGATTTCAACATGTTCTGCTGCTCTGTGGGCTCCAGGTACCTGTCTTGCTGGCCTAGCCCTATCAAGATTCTCAATCTGTGCTTTGATAGTCACTCCTATATAAATGTTCACCTTGTCTTCCCCTCACCCCCATCCCCTGATCATCCACAAAGACCTGAGTGAGATCTGTCACCCTCTTTAACCTGAGACCCAATCCTCATTGTGGTCAGGAGAGAGAAAAGCTGTGCTGAGCACTTGGAGCCATTTACTGAGCAGCATGCACATGGCAGACACTATGCAGGTATCTGAGGCACAAGTCAGAAGCTCTACTAGGAAGATACAGGCCCCTGACAGAAAAGAACACCCAAGCTGGGTGCTGGTGGCTCACTCCTATAGTCCTATCCACTCAGAAGGCTGAGATCTGAGGATCACGGTTCAAACCCAGCCCAGGCAGGAAAGTCTATGATACTCTTATTTCCAATTAAACACCAAAAATCTGGTGGTGAGAGGCTCAAAGTGATATAGAGTGCTAGCCTTGAACAGAAAGAGCTCAGGGACAGTTACCAGGCCCCAAGATAAAGCCTCATGACTGACAAAAAAAAAAGAACACCCAGCTCCCACTAGAGGAGTGAGTCATGGGTTTTGCAGTTAATCAAGTACAATGTTTAGGACTTCTGCACCCTTAATAGCTGTATGCACTCCAACTTTTTCATCAATAAGGGACAGTTGTAACTCCTAAGTTCTAAGGGAACTAAGTCCCCAGTTTTAAGACTCATTATGCACATGGCACTTGGACACCATCAGGGATCAATGGGAACAGAGGCCATGAGAAGTATAAGAGAAACTTCAGAAGATAAAGTCATCTAACAGTCACTCTGAGCCACACAGAAGGGCAGGAGCTTAGCACCCAGGACAGGGAGAGGCTACCTGCAGCTGGGAGTGGTGGTACATCCACCGCAGGGCGGCTGAGGTCATGCTGGGGGCACTGGGGCCATAGGCGGCCTGCAGGGCCTTCTCCACCAGGGCGATGGCCTTGAAGTGGTCCTCCTTCCAGAAGCTGAGTGGGGAGAGAGTGGTACAGGGGTCAAGACCTTGGGCATCGCAAGGAGGGCCAGAACCAAAGAGCTAAGCAGGACAGGTAGCCCCACCCCAAGTTCTTCTGCAGCACCGCTGGGCTCTAGCAAAGGATTGCCTCCTCTATAGGGCCAGACTACGCAGGCTGCCAGCCCCTCAGAAGCAGCAGTGATGCAGTGGTACAGACCACCCTGGCTCACCGGTTCCTGTAGGTCTCGGCCCAGCTATTCCCGAAGAAGCGGCCCTCAGGCTTCTTGCTGTCCTTGTCTTCATACTTGTACTTGCCTGTCAGAAGACCACCTGAGGGAAGGCTGCAATCAGAACCCTTGCCCAGATGCTTCCCATAAGATGATGGATCCTCCACAGCTGTGGGCTGGGGAAGGGGATTTCCAGGAGGTATAGGGGGCTCAGCCCAGCCTCTTAGCAAAGCTTGCTTCCCAGGGTTTGGCATCCACCAGGCCAGGATTGCTTTCTCCTCCCACCCCCTACAGGTGCTGTGTCCATGCAGCCCATACCAGCCAAAGGGTTGTAGGCATAGAACCTCAGTCCAAAGTGTCTGAGGCAGGGGAAGAGCTCTGTTTCCACCTGTCGAGTGGTGGCGTTGTACATTCCCTGCAAGGAGAAGGACAGGGAGATAGAATGGACATGTGATGGGAGCAGAACTACTCAGTCTTTTTCTTTCTTAAACAAACAAAATAGAACAAAACCCAAATACTTTATTTTAGAGGCTTTTTGGAGGCAAAAACTACCTTCTAATTCCTGGGCTTAAATGATCCTTCTGCCTCAATCTCCCAAGTGGTTGAAACTACAGGACCTTACCATTATACTTGACAGTATGTTTTTTTATGTGTGTGCTCGTTCTGGGTCTTGAACTCAGGGCTTTGTTTTCTTGTTGGGCTTTTTCACTCACTATGGCACTCTACCATACCTCTAGTTCAGCTTGTTTTTGCCGGCCAACTGGAGATGAGTCTCATGGACTTTTCTGTGGCTAGTCTGGGAAAAAAGTTCATGATAACTCATCTCAATATAAAAAGGCTGAGCGTGGTGATATACACCTGTAATCCTTGTCATTTCAATTATAGCTGGAAGCATAAAAAGGTAGACTGCGATCCAGGACCACCAAAGACAAAAACAAGATCCTAGCTGGGCGCCAGTGGCTCACACCTGTAATTCTAGCTACTCAGGAGGCTGAGATCTGAGTATCACGGTTCAAAGCCAGCCCAGGCAGGAAAGTCCGTGAGACTAATCTCCAATAAACCACTAGAAAACCGGAAGTGGAGCTGTGGCTCAAGCGGTAGAGCGCTCACCTTGAGCTGAAGAGCGCAGGGACAGCTTCCAAGCCCAGAGTCCAATCCCCACGACCGACCAAAAGAACTAAAACAACAACAACAACAACAAAAAAAAACAAAAAACAAGATCCTACCTCAAAAATAATCAGAGCAAAAAGGGCTGGAAACATAGCTCAAGTGGTAAAGCACCTGTCCAGTAAGTGCAAAGCCCTGAGTTCAAACTCTAATACTGCCATAAATAAACAATCCATACTAGCCCAGGACTCCAGCAGTTACTTCTAAAATCACTAGTGGGTTATGCCTCCATCAGAAAGAATGACATCTCCCCATTTGTTAGGAAATGGAAAGGCTTGGAAAAAATTATATTAAGTGAAGTAAGCCAAGCCCAAAGAAACATAGGTCCCATGGTTTCCCTTATTTGCAATATCTAGTATATGTATGAGTCAAGCAGAAAAGGTCAGATAATGTGATGTTAGGAAAATGAACCCTTAGATATGTATTTAAATGTTTTTTTCTTTCATGCGTTTGTTTCTAACTCATTTATAAGATTATTTCTTTGTTGCTTTGTATGTCCCTCCCCCACAGTATAACCCCTGCTTTCACTATATTTGATGTTGGTATAATTTGTGGAGGAGATGGGGAAAAACAAGTCGTTTAGGATACAGGTGGACCCGTTGCAACTATGAGAAGTACAAGTTGTCATGTCGAAAACGAACTTTACAACTTTGGGGGGGGGGGGATTGGGAGGGGGCGGGGGGAGGCTGGGAAGGAATGGGAAGGGTAAACAAAGGAGGAGGCTGCAATGCTTGATAAGAAATGTACTCATTATCTTGCCCATGTAATTGTAACCCCTCTGTACAGTATGTTCACAAAAAATAAAAATAAATAAAATAAAATCACTAGTGGGCCTGGCATTGGTGGCTCATGCCTGTAATCCTAGCTACTCAGGAGGCTGAGATCTGAGGATCCTGGTTCAAAGCCAGCCCAGGCAGGAAAATCCATGAGACTCTTATCTCCAGTTAACCACCAGAAAACTGGAAATGTCACTGTGACTCAAGTGGTAGAGCTCTTTCCTTGAGCTGAAGAGCTGAAGGACAGAGCCCAGGCCTAGAGTTTTAAGCCTCAAGTCTGACCAAAAAAAGAGAAAGAAAAAAAAAATCACTAGTGGTGTACAGAGTGCGGGAAAGTATCTAGGAAGGGAAACTGGCCTGGATTCCTCATTCTACAAATTGTGTATAGGCTCCAGCTACAGGCCAGACACTGCATTTACAACCACTGGCAAGTCTAGAATAAAGTCTCCACCTCCAAAAGATGTTACAGTCAATTTAAAAATACAGGCTGAGCCGGGTGCCGGTGGCTCATGCTTGTAATCCTAGCTACTCAGGAGGCTGAGATCTTCAGGTCAAGGTTCAAAGCCAGCCCGGACAGGAAAGTCCGTGAGACTCATCTCCAATAAACCACTAGAAAACCGGAAGTGGAGCTGTGTGGCTCAAGGGGTAGAGCGCTCACCTTGAGCTGAAGAGCGCAGGGACAGTGCCCAGGCCCAGAGTTCAAGCCCCACGACCAACCAAAAAAAAAAAAAAGAAAAAAAGAAAAAAAGACAATGACATTTGGAGAGTGGAAGCTCCTGGGGTTGGGCTTTCCTGGGAAGAGATGACTGAGGGAGCCCTGAGCACTTCCCTGAGGTGCAGAGCCAGGCTTGGAAGTAAGGAACCAAGCTGTGCACTCAGGCAGAAAGTGGGCAGCTGCCTGCTGGCCAGGCTGAGGAACTTTGTCCTCTGAGGGCACCTGCGAGCCAGGCACAGGCTCTGGGCAGAGGAGCACAGGAGGGCACAGGAGGCAGGCTGAGGGGAAAGAAGATCAGCCAAGCCCTGCAGTCCACGGCCTGGGCACCCTGGCACACCAGGTACCCCTCACCTGATACACAGTGGGCATAATCCAGCCATTGCTCTTGCAGAGCGTACAGATCTCCGCCACTTCCCAGGAGGCGTAGTTGGAGAGGCCAAGCTCCGCAAACTTGCCCTGCAGGGGAGAGGTGAGGTCACAACTCTGTACAACCCAGGACTCTAGGCAGGGGAGGTAGGAGTGGGGACCCCGGGGCTGAGGTCTTCCCAGCTCTGCCCTGGGTGCTCTGGTTCCCCCTCTTTGCTGGTAGAGGGAGGATGGGAAGAGAGGAGAGCCCTCCCTCCTGGAGCTCTGGAGACCCTCTCCCACCTCCTGGTGCAGCTGGTGGCAGGCCCGCAGTGTCTCCTCCACAGGGGTACCATGGTCTGGTGCATGCAAGTAGAAGAGATCCACTCGGGGACACTGCAGCCGCTTCAGTGACGTCTCCAGCTGGGACCGGACACTGTCAGGTTTCAGGGACTTTCCCTCCCAAGGGTTGGCCTTGGTGGCAATTTTCACTTGAAAAAATGTAATGGTTAAGGGACTTATTAAGGCCATTTACTGGCTATGTGACCGTGGATAAATCACTTAAATTTCCTGAACTTCTATTTCCATAAAATGGCAATCACAAGAATGGAACTGGCTGGGCGATGGTAGCTTACACCTGTAATCCTAGCTACTTAGAAGGCTCAGATCTGATTTTATTGATTCCAAGCCAGCTGGGGCAGAAAAGTTCCTATGAGACTTTTATCTCCAATTAACCAATCAAAAACTGGAAGTGGCACTGTGGCTCTAGTGGTACAAGCTAGCCTTAAGCACAAAGAGGCTCAAGGACAGTGCCCAGGCCCTGAGTTCAGGCCTTAGGACCAGCAAAAAAACAAAAACAAAACAAAACAAACAACCAAACCTGGAGTTGTCCTGAAACAGAGATCACAGGATTAAATAATGTATTCAGTGTGAGTTCCCAACGTTCACCTCCAATCACCATCTTTACTCACACAACTGCTAGCTGTGCCCTCTAAGAGCCCTTGGGCAGAGGGTGTCCGCAAAACATGGGTATCAGGACTTCTACCTGATAACCAACTTGCATCAAGGACATTACCCACAGGAGGCTCAGGAAAAGGATTGAGCCCAACATGCAAATCAGGGAAGCTTTCAGTAGGAGAACTGACACAAGCTGTCTGCACCAACAGAAGACAGGCAAAGTCACAGAGGCAGGACTCAGCTACCATTCTGAGTAAATTGCAGGCAGGTTGTGCAGAACCTGATTCAGGAGAAGGGTACACACATCTGATCCCAGAGGCCCCCCCAACATTCTACTGGATGTGGCCTTGATTCTTCCCAGGCTTTGTCAGAGTCTGAATGGGCTGGCTAGCTCCCTGGGCTGTAGCACATAGAAGGAACTCAAGGGGACAGGCCTGGAAGGGGTTGTTATAGCAATGTAGGATAGAGAGGTAGGCGCAGGACTATGGGGCCCTGGCAGTGATCAATCTGAGTCAGAGGCAACAGAGCAAGATCAGTAGAGTTCCTCCCAGACTCGAACCTGCACATGCATCCCTCCACTGCAGAGACCAGAGCCACGTCGAACAGCTGTTTCCACAGTTTGAGAGTGAGTGAATTCAGCCCTCCCTGTCTCCACAGGGAATCCCAATTGATGGGGACTAGACTCTGCACTGCTCCTATAGGTCAGAGGAGTGTTTTCTGGTCATGTGAAGGGGGAAAGAAGACCACAGTCCCTCCCTTCTGGCTCCCTTCTTGTGTGGACTTTGCCCCAGGTCTGATCGAAGGACTTTGGCTCAGTGAGCCATTGCACTCAAAGGAAGCAGGGAACGGCTGAAGAAAAACCAACTCAGAAACAAAACCTGGTAGACAGCCGGGCGCCGGTGGCTCATGCCTGTAATCCTAGCTACTCAGGAGGCTGAGATCTGAGGATCACAGTTTAAAGCCAGCCCAGGCAGGAAAGTCCATGAGACTCTTATTTCCAATAAACTACTAGAAAACCAGAAGTGGTGCTGTGTCCAAGTGGTAAGGCGCTAGCCTTGAGCTGAAGAGCTGAGGGACAGGGCCCAGTCCCAGAGTTCAAGCCCCCTGCCCAACAAAAATAAAAAGAAAGTACTTCTCTACACACATGGGATGGCAAAGAGGAGGCATCAAGCTAATGGGACAGCTCCTTCTCATCCTCTTAAGCCACATCTGTCCCAGTGGTCATCTTGCCAGACATCACTTTGCAATCACAAGCCATGTCTTTGCGCAGGTGTTGCCTTACTCTTATAAGGCCTATTCTTTTCTTCTACCTCCCAGCAGACTACTATGTATTCTTTAAGGCTCAGCTTTGGTCGCTGTTTTGTCCAGAGAACTCCCTCTTCTGAAGCTCCCAGCTTCAGTCTTCCCTGCTAGACTCTGAGTTCACTGGCATTAGGCACTTTTCCTCTCACACAACAGACAGAAAGATCTTGCCCCAAATCTTCCTATGGTATCCCCAACAGTGCTCCCAGAGACCCCAGGGGTTTTTTGTTTTTTCCTGGTGCGGTTCTGGGGCTTGAACACAGGGCCTGGGTGCTGTTCTTGCATTTTTTTTTTTTTTTTACTAAAGGCCAGTACTCTACCATGGGAGTCATAGCTCCACTTCCATTTTTTATGGTACTTAAATTGGAGATAAAAGTCTCCTGGACATTTCTGCCGGGGCTGGGATTTACAGGTGTGAGCCACCAGCGACTGTCTTCCAGAAGTACTCTTAAAGGCACACGACAAAGTCTAGAGACTGACCAAAGCCCAAGATGAGAAAAGGGTGCCCAGGGAATCTCTGGGCTGTGATGGCAAGGAGTGGGGGGGGGGGGGCACCTGGCCCCACAGTTGTGTGCGTGCGTGCAGGAGGTAGGCAGCAAGGGGGAGCGCAGGCTCCGAGTTAAGATGGGGGCTCCCGAGGTGCAGGTCCCGAAGGATGCAGAGACGGACGGGGTCGGGGCAGAGCGCCGTCCGGCTGCCGGGGCTGCCCGGGCCGGGGAGGAGAGGGCAGGTCCACGACGCTGGGTGCCAGGCCGCAGAAGCAGGGCGGCCGTTACCTGTGCAGTCGCCGCCGCCCAGCCCGAGCCCCAGGCCGCCCAGGATGGCCTCGGACTGGCCGCCGCAGTACATGAAGGCCGTGTCCAGCTCCGTGTGGCCGCGCTCCAGGAAGGCGCGCACCGAGGCCGCGCTGGCGGGCGCGTCCATGCGGCGCCCCATCTCCATGGTGCCCAGCACCGTGGCGGGCCGGGCCGGGGCGCCCGCGGCGGCCGGCTGCGGCTGAAGCCCGGACATGGCGAAGCGGCGCGGAGAGCCTGACCGGGCCGGGCTACGCGCAGCACAGCGGACCGCGGCGCGGTTCACTGCTCGCGAAGCGGCGCGCAGCATGGGGACTGCGCATGCGTGCCGGGGGCGGGGGTGGGTGGGAGGTGTCGCGTCCCGCCCACGACACGGGGGGGGGCGGAGTCAGGGAGGTAAGGGAGTGAGGTCAAAGAACAAAGCACCGCCCGGCGCACACGTGCTGGGATTTTGGCCACGCCTCCAGGGGCCGTCTGCGAAGTACGCGGCGCGGGAGGCGGAGCCCAGCGGCTCCAGGGGCGGGGCCCCCGGCTGAGCTTGGTCAGCTGACCGCGGCGGGGGACTAAACCCTGGAGCGCGGTTCGCCGAGGGTCTTGGCGCGGTGAGCATGCTGGGTGCTAGTGGGAGACCCAGGGCTGGTGGGGGGGTCGGGGCTGCTGGCGCCTTCCACCACGTCTTTCCTGTGCCTGCCTCCTGTACCTCCTGCACTGTCCGGCGACCCAAGTCCCCTCCCGTGGCGCGAGATCGTGGGGCGCCTTGGCCGGGGTCGGAGAGCCCTCGGGGTCCCGGGTGGGGGCGGCCCGCACGGCCTTCCGGGCCGGCCTGTCCAGGGCTTGGGACCCGGGTCCTCCGTGCACCGGCCGGTCCCAGACCACGAGCCCCTCCCTGGTCTTCCGCGGGCTTTGTTTTCTTCCGGCCTCGCCGCGCCGGCCCCGCGGCTGCCCTGTCATTACCCGTCCCCGAGGGCGGCCCGCGCCGGGCTGAGTCACCGGAGCGAAGGCCTGGGAGGGTGGGTGCCCCCGCCCGGACGCGCCCCGGCTCTGCAAGGAGCGACCCCCTGATGACCGGCTCCAGTGCCAGGCTTCGAGCAGGCTTCCCAGTGTGTGCCGAGGGTGGGGCCTGCCCGACGCGGGTACGGCCTGCGTCCGGGGTCCCGGCCAGTCAGCACCTAGCTGAAGGCCGCTGTGTGTTCGGGACCCTGGAGGGCCCCTGTCGTCCCTGAATCTCTGGAGTGGCCTGTAATCATTTAGGTAGGTGATCTCATGTAACTGCAGTCAAGCCTTCGAGGTGAGGAGCAGAACGCCGAGGCTTCCTGACCTGCTCAGAGCACCAGACGAACTGGCTGCAGGCAGGTTAGCTTGTCTCCTCAGCCCTAGGCCCTGTGAATTACGAGTTTCCTTGTCTTCTCTTCTCTTTTCCTTTCCCTTCTTTTTTCCTTTGGTTGGTTTGCCTTTTTTCTTTCTCTCTTTGCTTCCTTCTTGCTTCGTCTGTTTTGCCCTCCACTCCATTTTTTTCTTTTTCTTTTCTTTTTGTTGATTGTAGGGCTTGAACTGAGGACCTGGGCACTGTCCCTGAGCCTCTCTGTGTTCAAGGCTAGCACTCTACGACTTGAGCCACAGCACCAGGTAGGGTTTTTGAGTGGTTGATTGGAGGTAAGAGTCTCACAGGGACTTTTCTGCCTGGGTTGGCTTCCAGCCATGATCTTTAGATCTCAGCCTCCTGAGTAGCTAGGATTACAGGTGTGAGCCACTGGCATCCAGCTCCTCCAACATTTTCTAAACCTTTATTGTGCAGCTGATGTACCTAGAGCCCTACGATTGGAAGTGTACAACAAGGGGAAGGGGGAGAGGAGAAGAGCATGTTTAAAGAACAGTGGAAGCTGAGGTCTTTGGTAGCTTTCTCCAGGTGTAGGACCCAGAGGAGGGGAGGGGGCAGCAGGTTCTGTCCAGCTGACGCTTATAAGATCCCTGGGAGAGGGCAAATTAGAACTGGGTCATAGTATCTTTTTACCAGGCCTGGACATGACTCTGAAGACCTGGAACAGGAGATCAGGTTAGGAAGGCACTCAAGGAATTTGGACTTGAGCCTGTTGATCCAGGTGGTCTGGTTGTGTGGGAAGCACTCCAAGTGAAGCCAAGGAGCTGGATGTGGCCAGGAAGGCACTGGCCACCCAAAATTCTTTAAGAGGCCAGGAGAACTGCTTAAACTTAGAATCCCTTCTGTTTCCTTCCCTCGCTAACCTGACAAGGAAGGGGTGAGTGATTGACCATCCTTTGATAGTCAAGGTATTGGCTCTCATCTTCAAAACAGCCACTACCATGGAGGTCAGACACTGGGCTAAGAGCTTTATTTATTTATTTTTTTAAGTGCCTATCCTGGGGTTTGAACTCAGGGTCTGGAAACTGTCTCCAAGAGCTTTTTTTTTTCTTTCAAGGCTAGCACTTTACCAACAGAACTATAGCTCCACTTCCTGCCTTTTGGTGGTTAATTGGAGATAAGAGTCTCAAGGACCTTCCTGCCCAGGCTGGCTCCAAACCTTGATCCTCAGATCTCAGCCCCTTGAGTAGCTAGGATTATAGAGCCACCAGCGCCCAGCTAAGACCTTTATTATATGTGTTTCCCTAGGAAGAAGTATCATTAGTTCCCTTTTATTGACAGACTCTGGCAGGCCATCTCCCTTGCCCAAGGCGACTCAGCCTCAAATGGGGACAGTGTTCTTCACCTTGCTGGTGCTCCATGGCAGGGACAGTGCATGGACACGTGAAGACCTGCAGTGGCTTGCCCAGAGTCTAGAAGTAGGAGGTTCAATTAGGGGGTGGCTGCAGAACAACAAAGGGCTTGGTGAACTATGGTTCTACCTGGGTTGTCTGCAAATTGGTTGGGTGCACGCCCCATACCAGCCCCACACCAACTGTGCTGACAGTCATCCGGGGTTCCAGGAGGAGCTGGATGTGGCCTAAGTCGTCCAAGAAGGGCCTTTGAATGCCCTGTGCTGAGCCCTGGAGATTCTGCAGTGAGCTGGGCATACAGTGAGTGACCTGAGGTGCCCAGCTCCAGGGCCCCCGTGCCTCACGTTAGGGCTGAGCACCTCAGCTCCCTATCCCTTCAAAGCAACCAGGAAGCCTCCTCTCTCTCCCTCAAGGCTGCCGCTTCAGCACTTCCATGGCTCCAGCCAGGGCATGGCTTTGTGAGGAGCTCAGCCCTCCTCCCCACCCCCAGGCACAAGTGGGGAACTAAGTGGCTGGAGCAAGACCTCGCCTGACTCAGGAAAACCCCTGTTAGTGCGGGGAGTAAAGGGGAAGCCAGCTTTGTGCTTGGCCAGAAGCTAGGCAGTCATGCCAGACCCAGGGAGGCTCTGCACCCCAGTGACAGAAGTACCTAAGGCTGTGGGCATGGCAGCTCTGTGTGTGTGTGGCGGCTCTGTGGGGGGGGGGGGTAGGAGGTGGGGCTTGCAGCTCCTTCCTGGGCATGACTTTGGCTTCCTGGCGAGGTCCTAGCAGATCATTTCCCTGCTCTAGCCTCAGGTTCCTCTGGCATCTCTCTAGAGTCTCTGCTTCACAGCGTCCAGGGGAGGATGGTGCATGTGAATGCATTCCAGGGGCTTGGTGCAGAGCTGGGCAGGGGGTAGCGATTCTCAGGAACTGAGATGGCACTAGCCCAGCTCCGTGTTCTCAGCTCTAGGTGGTCACTCAGGCAGTGACACTGCCGTCCTCCGTCTAGTATAAGAGGATCCTCTGACTAGGAAGGTGGTTCTGGACTCTTTGCTAAAGACATTCCACCTGCTTTGTGAGCTCTTGAAGGACTACTGGATCCAGAATCTGAACTAGGCAGCCCTGGGAATCATCGCCCTTCATTCTGACTTAACTGCCGGGAAGTCCTCCTTCCAGTGAGGGCCTCCCAGAGTAACTCAACACGAACAGCAGCCATAAAATGGAATCAAGCCAGACACTCAGGATTTAGAACAAAAGATGACTTTTGACACCCATGCACTGGTGACTCACACCTGTTCTTCCTAACTATCCAGGAGGCTGAGATCTGAGGATCACAGTTTGAAGCCAGCCTAAGTAGGAAGGACTGTGAGACTCCTATCAACAGTTAACCTCCAAAAGCCAGAAGTGGAGCTGTGGCTCAAGTGTTAGAGCACTAGTCTTGAGCACAAAAGCCCAGGGACAGTGCCCAGGCCCTGAGTTCAAGTTCTAGGACTGGTACATGCACACACACACACACACACACACACACACACACACACACACACACACACACGATGACTTTGAGGGCTAATCCCATTATTCACTTAACTCACCCAGCAGCTACATGAGGGATGGTTCAGGTGACCAGGCCCAGGCACTGAGAGGCTGAATGCTGGCCCAAAGTCAAGCAGTAACCAGTGGGAAAGCTGAATGTCCCTGACCCTACGGTTGGCACAGTGCTCATTTGGTCTGTGTATCTGGAAGCTGATTGGGTCTCTGTGGGCGAGGACTATGACTTTCTCCTTGTCCAGTCCAGTAGCCAGGCCAGGGCCAGGTGATCAGGCTGAGCTGAGCTCAGGTCAGAATGACTGTGGGTAAGAACTGGACCTCCTAAAGCTGAAGGCCTCCTTTCTTTCTCTCTGTAGAAGGAACCCTCACCTGGCTCGGTACACCAGCACCTCCCTCCCACACGGTCCTGGGCTGGGAAGCTCCCTCTGCAGCCATGGTCTGGAAGAAACTGGGGCCCGGCAACTTCTCCAGATGTCCCAATGGCTCTAGCCTGTGGATCTGGGATGTATTTGGCGAATGTGCCCAGGATGGCTGGGATCAGGCCAGTGTGTTCCTGGGCTTGGTCTCCATCCTCTGTTTTGCTGCCTCTACTTTCCCGTGAGTATCCCTGGGTGGCAGGAGCAGGGAGGGCAGCAGGGTGGTGGCAGAGGCTCCAGGAGGGGCCACATGACTGGTCATAGGCTCCAGGCCAGTGGACTTCCTCCTCCCCAGCCCCCAGCTAGAAGTCCCTGACTTCCGGCCCACTCAAGGAGGGGCTGTGTGGAGCTCAGCACAAGCTAAATCATAACATCTGCTACAGTCAAGTGCCCACTATGTCCCTGGCTTGGGACTACATGCCAGGCATACTTGTACCTTCTTGGTTCCTCACCTCAGCCACCCTGAGAAACAGAGCCGGTTCCTTTCCCTGCTTGGCAGATGAGACTGAAATCCAGAGAGGTTAAATAACTTGCTCTGGCAGGGCACTGATGGCTCACACCTGTCATCCTAGCTACTCAGGAGGCTGAGATCTGAGGATCGCAGTTCAAAGCTAGTCCAGATAGGAGAGTCCATGAGACTCGTATTTCGAATTAACCAAGAAAAAACGAAGTAGAGCTGTGGCTCAAAGTGTAAGGCACTAACCTTAAGCGGAAAATGCTCCCAGGCCCTGAGTTCAAGCCCCATGACCAACAAAAGGAAACCTTGCTGTGGCTTGCACGGGCTGTAAGGAAGAAGGTGGAGGAGTGAGAGGGCAGATGTGTCAAACATGGCTTCCGTTCTCAGAAAGGGAGGATAGTCCAGGGCTGGAGGCCAGTGGATATGAAACAATGTGGCCACTGCAGTGTGGCACACAGCGTCTACACTCAGCTCCGCCACCTACGGGCTGTGACCTGGGCAAGTCACTTCACTGCTTTGTGCCTCAGTTTCCTCATCTGTAAATACTGCTCCATCCAGAGCTGCTGTGAGGAGAGCAGGAAGGAAGGGGTAAAAAGAACCTGGTTTTGCACTATGTGTGTAAGAGCCTGCACTGCCAGTGCTGAGGTTTTGTTCTGTGAAACGGGGACAAGATACGGTCACAAAGGCCCTGGAGCTGTGGGCTGGGGCCCAGACCTCCCCAGCACGTGTGTGAGAGGGTGCAGCCGCTGTGTCACTGGACCAGACCGCCGTGTATGTGGGGTGTGTGTGTGTGTGTAGGTGTGTGTAGGTGTGTGTAGGTGTGGGTGTATGAGAGAGAGAGAGAGAGAGAGGTCAGCCCTGTCACCCAGTCTGTTTTCCATTGTTCAGAGTGTGTTCCAAGGCTGCTCAGTGGGAGAAACCGTCCATAGCAAGCAGGAGGTCCTGGATTCACTCTTCTACTGCGAGCCTCTCCAAAAACAACCCCTGAGTGTTCTTTGTCTTGAGAGATAAGGATCAGGGTTTAATCTTGGACTTGGCCCTTGGCTTAGGTTTTCACTTCTCTGGAGTATACAATATCTAGATCTAGAGGGTGAATTGAGAGATAAGTGAGAGATAATTTACTAAACCCAAGCTGTTCGACTTGGTGGTTTTAGTTTAACTACTGTTGTATAGTTGTCACTACAGTTAATTTTAGAACACTGTAATTGTCCCACAAAGAAACCTAGATACTGGTTCATGCCTATAATCCTAGATACTCAGGAGGCCCTCTAGATTCATCTCCAAAGAACCATCAGAAAACCAAAGTGATAGATCTCTACATTTGAGTAAAAGGATTCAGGGACAGTGCCCAGGCCCTGAGTTCAAGCCCCAGGCAAAAAAAGGAAAAAAAAAACCTGTGCTGTGATCAGTACCTCTAAATCTTGCAGTCCCTGGCAGCGGCCCATTTGTTTTCTCTGTTTATAAATTGGCCTATCCAGGAAATCATGATTCTTATAAATGGAATGTGTGGCTTCTTTTACTTAATATAATAAGATTCATACCAGGCTAGGCACTTGTGTCTCATACCTATAATCCTAGCTATTCAGGAGGCTGAGATCTGAGGATTATACTTTGAAGCTATTCTGAGGAGGAAAGCCCATGAGACTCTTATTTCCAATTAACCACCAAAAACAGCTAGAAGTGGAACTGTGGGTTAAGTGCCTTGAGCAAGAAGCTTAGGGACAGTACAGGGGTCTTGAGTTCAAGGCCCAGGACTAACACACACACACAGATTCATACATGTTGCAGTATGTGGTCGGATGCATTTGGAGTCCCCAACTACTTAGGCAATGAGGCAGGAGTTTGAGTCCAGCCTGGACAATAGTGAGACCCTGTCTCAAAAATACATTTCCTCCGTACTGTAGTACATATCAGTGCTTCAGTCCTTCCTATGGCTGAATAACGTTCTATTCTGTGTGTATACCATATTGAATCTTGTTTACCCATTTATCTATTGACATGTGACATTTTATGTTATGTGTACATTTATACACATGTGTTGGCGGAGGCTTAGGTTTTCACTTCTCTGGAGTATATATCTAGATCTAGAGGGTAAATTGGTTAAATGGGAATTGTTTATTTATTTGTGTGTTGCCAGTCCTGGGGCTCGAACTCAGGGCCTGGGCACTGTCCCTGAGCCTCTTTTGCTCAAGGCTAGTGCTGTACCACTGGAGCCATTGATCCACTTCTGGCTTTTCTTCTGGTCTGTTGGAGGTAAGAGTCTCATGGACTTTCTTGCACAGGCTGGCTTTGAGCCTTGAACCTCAGATCTCAGCCTCCTGCATGATTAAGATTCAGGTGTGAGCCATTGGAGCCCGGCTAAGACAATTTTTTTTGTTTTTGGGTCCAGTCGTGGGGCCTGAACTCTGGGCCTGGGTGCTGTCCCTCAGCTCTTCAGCTCAAGGCTAGCACTCTACCACTTGAGCCACAGCTCCACTTCTGGCTTTTTTTTTTTCTGCTTATGTGGTGCTGAGGAATCGAACCCAGGGCCTCAGGCATGCAAGGGAAGCGCTCTACCACTGAGCCACCTTCCCAGCCCTGAGACAATCTCTTCAACACATGGTGCCTGGCAGTAGCTCTCCACATGCAGAGAGCTTGGGCCCCCAACTCACAGCTAACACCTAAGTATGAGTTATACTGTGAGGCTCTTACAAGAAAAGATAATCAGCAAAACCCAGACTGAAAGTAGGGCTCAAGTGGTAGACTGCCTGCTAAGCAAGTTCAAGGCTGTGAGTTCAAGTCCCAGAACTGGCCCACAAAAAGGAAGAAAATTAAGAGAACCTACAAAATAACAGAAAAGATTCTGCAAGTCATATAGCTCTAAGAATGTGTCTAGAATACACAAAGAGCTGTCATGACTCAACTAAAAAAAAATTCCAAATGAAAGTGGACAGAAAGGAATACACATGGCCATAAGCCCATGAAACGCTGCTCAACTTCATGATTCACAGGAAAAGGGAAATTGCAAATCAAAACCACAAGAAGACAACTTTTCACACCCAAGAGAATGGCTATTTAAAAAAGGACAACTGACAGCAAGTTTTGGAGGGGACCAGGAGAAATGTGGCTTGTACACTGCTAGAGGATGGTAAAATGAAACGGTTGGCTGGGCGCCGGTGGCTCGCGCCTGTCATCCTAGCTACTCAGGAGGCTGAGATCTGAGGATCGTGGTTCAAAGCCAGCCTGGGCAGGAAAGTCTGAGAGACTCTTATCTCCAATAAACCACTAGAAACCGGAAGTGGTGCTGTGGCTCAAGTGGTAGAGCGCTCACCTTGAGCTGAAGAGCTGAGGGACAGCGCCCAAGCCCAGAGTTCAAGCCCTGCAACTGACCAAAAAAAAAAATATTATTTTTTTGTTGGTCTTGGGGTTTAAACTAGGGCCTGGGCACTGTCCTGGGCCTGGGCACTGTCCCGGACCTTTTTCATGAACTTTCCTGCTCAGGATGGCTTTGAACCTCAATCCTCAGATCTTAGCCTCCTGAGTAGCTAGGATTATAGATAGGGGTGAGCCACCAGCACCTGGCGAAATAAATAAATAAATAAATAATTTAAAGAAGGAAACAAAGACAAAAAAAAAAACAGAAAAAATGAGGACTACAGGAGGTGTGGCTTCAATGGTAGCCCACTTGGGTACTTAGTTTCAGGGTAGCAAGCCCAAGGCCCTGAGTTCAAATTCTAGTATCACACACATACACAGACACACACATGAAAATTAAACAACTCAGGGCTGGAAATGTGGCTTCCTGGTAGAGTACTTGCCTAGCATGCATGAAGCCCTGGGTTCAGTTCCTCAGTACCACATAAAAAGAAAAAGCTGGCACTGGGGGTCTCAGTATCAGCTCCCGAGCCTGTGCTGCGGCCCTGGCCAGTCAGTGTAGGAACCTTCTCAATAAAGTTGCTTCTTTATTAACAACTTCGTTGCGGTGGGCTGTGTCACTCCGGACGACTAGGTGGGTTTGCCTGCCTGAGTAAGGGTCTTCCTACTACAGTCATGAGATTTGAAGAAGGTTCTAGTACTAGGAGTGAATTTGATTAGTTTAAACTGGCAATTCTCAAAGTTAAGCTGTGTGGTAAGCTTGTAAAAATACAGTTTGGAATAGAAACAGAGTTTTGTTTTCTTACTGTAAAAAAGAAAATAGAAAAAGCTGGAAGTGGTGCTGTGGCTCAAGTGGTAGAGCACTTGCCTTGAGCAAAAGAAGCTCAGGGACAGTGCCCAGGCCCTGAGTTCAAGCCCCAGGGCAAGCAAAAAACAAACGAGGTGAAGAACAGCACCCATGCCTTGAGTTCACTACTGGACACACAAAAAAAGAAGAACTGACATTTCCCCTGTCCATGTCCCAGCACTGGGCCGGAGCCTCAAGTATTCGCTCTGAATCACCTTGCTCCAGGTGCCATGTTCGATGTGGGGTTGAAGAAGCCAGCAGGTCATTGTCCCATTCCTGCATGGGCCAATTAACCAGAGAGGGGTCAGAGGCTCGAGAGCCCCCAGTAATAGCAAAGGCAGCTGTCTACCCACTCTTCCCTAGGACTCGGGGTCCCCTGTGTGGGACAGGGTCGCCTCCTGCAGTTAGGAGGCCAGTCAAGTCAGATCATCTTAGAGGAGCCTGACCATGGTCTGTGGGTAAGCCTCACCCAGGGCCTGTGACATGCCAGGCCACTGCAGGTCACTGAGTTCAGAAGGTACAGACAGAGTTGCTGTGTATACAGAGAGGAAGAAGATACTTGGAGAGCCCAGATGGAGAAAGGCCCATGGGAGGAACTGGCGCCTGGGGTGTGGGAGATGAGGAAAGGTGTCTGGGCTGAGGAAGGGAAAGCAACCTGGGCAGGGGTGGGGTGGACTTTGGGGCATTGGAGGACCGGCATCTGAAGACACTGCTTTGAGGGGAAGCCTTGCGTGGAGGCTGAGAAGCAGGTGCATCGGGGTTGGACACACAGTAGAGGGGGACAGTTGTGCAAAGGGCCTGGGTGATGCATAGTGCTCTTGGTTTTAGGTTTGGGTAGTGGGTTGGCCTTTGGTCTCATCCCCCCTCATCCCCTACCTTCCCCTTCTCTCTCCCTCTCCCCCCCTCCCCGCCCTGTCTTTAGTGCTTGGGACTGAACACAGGCCTCACACTCCAACCACATGCTTTACCACTGTGCTACAACCTGGACCCCCCTCCCCGCTTTTTAAATCTTCCCTTCCCTTTTCCTCCTCCTAGCAGAGTTTTGCTATAGAGCCCAGGCTGGCCTTGAACTCATGATCTTCCAGCCTCAGCCTTCTGCGTGCTGTGTGTACTATCACACCCAACTCCATGACTTTTTTTTTTCCTTCAGTACTGAGGTTTGAACTCAAGGTGTTGTGCTTGCTAGACAGGTGCTCCGCTGCTGAGCTATGCCTGCAGCTGTTCCCTTCGTTTTGTGTTGGTGATTTTTGAGATGAGAGCTTGTTCCTTGCTTAGGCCTGGGCCTACTTTAGGCTTTCCATCATTGCTGGGAGTACAGATGCACTCCCCTGTGCACAGCTGTAGTTGGGAGGTGGGGGGGGGGGGTCTTATGAATTTTCCTACCTGGGCTGGCCTTGAGCTTGAGAGCCTGTTCCTCTCTGACTGCCAGGATCACAGGCCATGACCCTTAGTGTCTGGCTGCTTCATTTTTTTTTTCCTGTCATGGGGCTTGAACTCAGGGCCTGGACACTGTCTCTGAGCTCTTTTGCTAAAGGCTAGTGCTCTACGACTTGAGCCACAGCTCCAGTTTCAGATTTTTGGTGGTTAAGTGGAGATGAGTCTCATGGACTTTCCTGACCAGGCTGACTTTGAACCTCCATTCTCAGACCTCAGCCTCCTGAGTAGCTAGGATTACAGGCGTGAGCCACTGTGTCCTGACTGCCTCATGAACCTGCCCTCATCTCCTGCCCCCGGAAGCTGACCAGGCTGTGGCTGGGCCTTTCTCCTCACCTGACCTTGTCAGCTGTAGCAGGGCCAGGCCTCACAGCCACTGCTGCCACCACCCCTACCCCAACTCCTGACAACAGGAAGCCAGGAAACTTGATACAAAACTTCAGGACTCTCTGTCTACCCACATCCGAGCTATGCTGTGGGTCTCTGGAAAGATGCACAGCCATAGTACCCCCTGGATAGAAGGGGCACAGCAAGGCTGGAGAGTCTTCACGGGTAATGGGCTCCCAGATCATCCGCTGTCCATTATGGCACCTGTTCTATGGTTCTCCTCGGAGGAAGGTTCCCTTGTTGGGGGTGGCTTCACAGCCCCCAGACTCTGCTGTTCACTCTCTCTCTCTCCCACAGGCAGTACATCAAGGCCTGCAAGACTGGCAACATGGACCAGGCTCTGTCCTTGTGGTTCCTCCTGGGCTGGATTGGTGGAGACTCCTGCAACCTCATTGGCTCCTTCCTTGCAAACCAGCTGCCCCTGCAGGTGAGCAGCTCCCCAGGCTTTGGGGTAGTGGGGAGATGCTGCAGGCCAGTGGACAGCCATAACAGGCCTTCGGGGCAGCCAGTAGGAGACACTAGACTCCAGATCCCTCTCCTGTCCTTCTGTCTGCTGGGACCCCACACTTCCAGAGCCTTCTGCCTGCCACATTGTGTGACACTAGGCAAATCACTATCCCCTGTCCAGCCTGTTTCTCCCCTATAGTATGAGTGCATCAGCCCATTGTGTTTTTTGGCTTCGAAGGGGGCTTAAGCGTACGTTTTCCGGGCATGGGGCCCTGCAGGAGGAAATGAAATGAGTCTTTCCCTCCGATCCCCAGTGGCCTTGTTCTCCTGTAACCAGGCAGAGCTAGGAGTCAGCCAGGAAGGCCCTGTCCCCCGTGAGGTGGAAAGTCCTGCCTGCTTGTGTGTTAGGCTACCGGAGCCATCACGGAGCCCATCATGGACCCATTTCATCCTGACTGGTGGCGGTAGCCGCAGATGCCTTGGCGCCTTCCCGGGCTGGACGCCTTGTCAGGCCACTTGTCCTGCGTGGCCCTCCTCCAGCCAGCTAGGAAGCGGGACCCGTCCACACCAGGGGAGAAGCCACTCAGCGTGTGCAAGGACAGGTGGTGCAGGCCACTGGGCTGGTCAGCCAGGACGTGGTCAGTACACGTGGTCAGGACGTGTGGTCAGGACGCGTGGTCAGGACTCGTGGTCAGGACGCGTGGTCAGGATGTGTGATCAGGACGTGGTCAGGACGCGTGGTCAGAACGTGGTCAGGATGTGGTCAGGACGCGTGGTCAGGATGTGTGATCAGGACGTGGTCAGGACGCGTGGTCAGAACGTGGTCAGGATGTGGTCAGGACGCGTGGTCAAGACGTGTGGTCAGGACGCATGGTCAGGACGCGTGGTCAGAACGCGTGGTCATAACGTGGTCAGGATGTGGTCAGGACGCGTGGTCAAGACGCGTGGTCAGGACGCGTGGTTAGGACGCGTGTCAGGACGCGTGGTCAGGACGTGTGGTCAGGACGCGTGGTCAGGACGTGTGGTCAGGACGCGTAGTCAGGACGCGTGGTCAGGACGCGGTCAGGACGCGGTCAGGACGCGGTCAGGACATGTGGTCAGGACATGTGGTCAGGATGTGGTCAGGACGCGTGGTCAGGATGTGGTCAGGACGCGTGGTCAGGACGCGTGATCAGGATGCGTGTCAGGATGTGGTCAGGACGTGTGGTCAGGATGCGTGGTCAGGACGCGTGGTCAGGACGTGGTCAGGACGCGAGGTCAGGACGTGTGGTCAGGACGCGTGGTCATGATGCGTGTCAGGATACGTGGTCAGGACGCGTGGTCAGGATGCGTGGTCAGGACGTGGTCAGGACGTGGTCAGGATGCGTGGTCAGGATGTGGTCAGGACGCGTAGTCAGGACGCGTGGTCAGGACGCGTGGTCAGGATGTGGTCAGGACGCGTGGTCAGGACGCGTGGTCAGGACGCGTGGTCAGGACGTGGTCAGGACGCGTGGTCAGGACGTGGTCAGGACGTGGTCAGGATGCGTGGTCAGGACGTGGTCAGGACACGTGGTCAGGATGTGGTCAGGATGTGTGGTCAGGACATGTGGTCAGGACATGTGGTCAGGATGTGGTCAGGACGCATGGTCATGATGTGGTCAGGATGCGTGGTCAGGATGTGTGATCAGGACGTGGTCAGGATGCGTGGTCAGGACGTGGTCAGGATGCATGGTCAGGGGATGTGGTCAGGACGTGGTCAGGACATGTGGTCAGGATGTGGTCAGGACGTGTGGTCAGGACATGTGGTCAGGACGCATGGTCATGATGTGGTCAGGATGCGTGGTCAGGATGTGTGATCAGGACGTGGTCAGGATGCGTGGTCAGGACGTGGTCAGGATGTGTGATCAGGACGTGGTCAGGATGTGGTCAGGATGCGTGGTCAGGACGTGGTCAGGATGTGTGATCAGGACATGGTCAGGACGTGTGGTCAGGGGATGTGGTCAGGATGTGGTCAGGACGTGTGGTCAGGACATGTGGTCAGGATGTGGTCAGGACGCATGGTCATGATGTGGTCAGGATGCGTGGTCAGGATGTGTGATCAGGACGTGGTCAGGATGCGTGGTCAGGACGTGGTCAGGATGTGTGGTCAGGACGTGGTCAGGATGCGTGGTCAGGACGTGGTCAGGATGCGTGGTCAGGACGTGGTCAGGATGCGTGGTCAGGATGTGTGATCAGGACGTGGTCAGGACGTGGTCAGGATGCGTGGTCAGGACGTGGTCAGGACGCATGGTCATGATGTGGTCAGGATGCGTGGTCAGGGGATGTGGTCAGGACACGTGGTCAGGACGTGTGGTCACGACACGTGGTCAGGATGTGGTCAGTATGTGTGGTCAGGGGATGTGGTCAGGACACGTCAGGACGTGTGGTCAGGACGTGTGGTCACGACGCGTGGTCAGGATGTGGTCAGTATGTGTGGTCAGGACATGTCACAACGCGTGGTCAGGACGTGGTCAGGGGATGTGGTCAGGATGCATGGTCAGGATGTGTGGTCAGGACGTGGTCAGGGGATGTGGTCAGGACATGATCAGGATGCAGTCAGGACTGGTCAGGTTGCGGTCAGGATGTGTGGTCCTGGACTAGGCCAGGGACAGTAGCCAGCACCCAGGTCTCTTTTTTTTTTTGTTGGTGGTGGTAGGGCCTGAACTCTGGGCCTGGGCGCTGTCCCTCAGCTCTTCAGCTCAAGGCTAGCACTCTACCACTTGAGCCACAGCGCTGCTTCTGGCTTTTTTTCTTTTTGCTTATGTGGTGCTGAGGAATGGAACCCAGGACCTCATGCATGCAAGGCGAGCGCTCTACCACTGAGCCACCTTCCCAGCCCAGGCCTCCTTTTCTTGCAGACCTACACGGCTGTGTATTACGTCCTGGCCGATCTGGTGATGTTGACCTTGTACTTCCATTACAAGTTCAAGAAACGCCCCTCTCTGTGTGAGTAGGGGGCCGCCCTGGGTGGGACTCTCTGCTGGCAGTTGGGGCAAGGGGAGCCTAAATCTTGGGAGGAAGCAAGTTTCCCACCTGGGTGGTAAAACAAACCTTGGGCCTTGAGGGCAGTGAGTACATCCCAGTTCAGACCACCAGGGGGCTCCACTCACTATGCTCTCCTCCTCTGTGTCTGACCCTGGGCTTGGAGCTGGAGAAACAAGGCTGAGTCTCACAGGCTGCCTCCGCCCTCCAGAACTCGGGAACCTCAAGAGGGAATTGAGTCAGCATTTCTGGCTTTGGAACCTCCATCTTGACCCTGCTGCCCAACAGTGATTCCACTTTGGCACCCTAGGAGAAGGGCACTGTTGTGTCCATTTTACAGATGACAGGATGGAAGCTCAGAGAGGTTGGATCACTTGTCCAAGGCCACATGGCAGCAGAGAAGTTAAAGCCTGGGACTCCAATCCCAGTCTACTGCCACTTAGATGCCAACTCTGTTTCTCTCCTGCCTCTGTCCAGTGTCTGTGCCCATCAATTCTGTGCTCCTGTTCATCATGGGGACAGTGTGTCTTGTGCCGCTGCTCAGCAGCCCGGGCCCTGTGGCTGTGCCCAGCAGAGTCTTCCAGGGGCGGACGCTCCTGTCTGTGGAGCTGGGCAGTAAGGGGAGGTGCGGCTCACCCCAAGGCCCTCCCTGCCAGGTCAGGTTCACGTTGGTGGTAAGTGGGGCGATCACGCAGGTGGGGGCCTCTCTGCGCCTGGCATTCCCGGCCCTGAGTGCCCTTCTGTCCCTCCAGCCCTTCACGAAGCAGGAGATCATTGGCTTCGTCATCGGCTCCATCTCCAGCGTGCTGTACCTGCTGTCCCGGCTGCCGCAGATCCGCACCAATGTGAGCCTTGAGCCTGCGTGGGGGGGGTGGGGAGGTGGGGGAGGGGGAGCCCTTCCACTCTGGCCCTCCAGGTTAAGGATGGCGTGCTGTGGGAGGTTCCTGCAGTAGCTCTGGACCCAAGCTGTTGGCTTGGGAAAGTCTATGCCACTGGGTGACAGTCCCTATTCTAGGAATGACCTGGTGGCGCCTGCCAGCCAGGCTCGGAGTCAGAGGTCAGAGGTTAGGTCAGGGCAGCTGAGGAGAAAGTGGAGAACGGGTGGGGTGTGCAGGGCACCAGGGGTCTGTGTGGAGAGCTTGCACGTGGGCCTGCAGGCTGCTGCTAGGAGAAGGGTTTGCGGTGGGGATGGGGAGCCGGGCCCTGGATGGGATTGGAGGGTGCCAGCCAGGTGACGGTACATATAACACTGCCAGTCACACACAGCGGTAACCGGAGTGATGAGAGCCTTTTGTGTGGGGGAGGGAGTCTCACTAGATCATCTAGCCCAGGTTAGCCCTGAACTCACTGTGTAGTCCAGGCCAGTTTCAAACTCTCGATCCTTTTGACTCAGCCCGCCCCGCCTCCCCGAGTGCCGAGGTCGCAGATGAGCGCTCTCCGTCTCTGACCACACCCCTTCCCCCCCAGTTCATACGCAAGTCCACCCAGGGGATCTCATACTTGCTGTTCGCGTTGGTGATGCTGGGGAACACGCTGTACGGGCTGAGTGTGCTGCTCAAGAACCCCGAGGTGGGGGAGAGTGAGGGCAGCTACCTGCTGCACCACCTGCCCTGGCTCGTGGGCAGCCTGGGCGTGCTGCTGCTCGACACCATCGTATCCTCCAAGGTGGGCCACGCGGACCAGCACATGGGCAGCCTCTGCCTGTAGACGCTTCAGTGTCCATCTACTCATCCAGCCTCTCATCCATCCATCCATCCATCCATCTAGCCACCCACCCACCCACCCATCCATCCATCCATCCATCCATCCATCCACCCATCCACCCACCCATCCATCCATTTATCCATCCATCCATCCACCCACCCACCCACCCATCCACCCACCCACCCACCCATCCATCCACCCACCCACCCATCCATCCACCCACCCACCCATCCATCCACCCATCCACCCACCCACCCACCCACCCACCTACCCATCCATCCACCCATCCATCCATCCATCCACCCATCCATCCACCCACCCACCCATCCATCCACCCATCTATCTGCCCACCCATCCATCATCACTCATCATCTAATCCATCTACACATGTATTCATCTATCTATCTACTAAACTTCTCATTTATCTATTCACTCCTCCCTCCCTCCCTCCCTCCATCCATCCATCCAACTTCCGACCCATTCACCATCCATTCATTTGCCTATCACTATCCACTCATCTAGCCAATTTCCCCATTTGTCCATCTACCTACCCATCCAACCTCCCACCCACTCATTCATCCATCCATCCATCCATCCATCCATCCACCCACCCACCCACCCATCCATCCACCCACCCACCCACCCATCCATCCACCCACCCACCCATCCATCCATCCATCCATCCATCCATCCATCCACCCACCCATCATCACCCATCATCTAATCCATCCACACATGTATTCATCTATCTACTAAACTTCCCATTTATCTACTCCTCCCTCCCTCCATCTCTCCATCCATCCACCCATCCATCCATCCATCCATCTGCCCACCCATCCATCCATCCTCACTCATCATCTAATCCATCCACACATGTATTCATCTATCTACTAATCTTCCCGTTTATCCACTCCTCCCTCCCTCCCTCCATCCATCCCTCCCTCCATCCATCCCTCCATCCATCCATCCAACTTCCGACCCATTCACCATCCATTCATTTGCCTATCACTATCCACTCATCCAGCCAACTTCCCATTTGTCCATCTACCTACCCATCCAACCTCCCACCCACTCATTCATCCATCCATTTATCTGTTCCTTTGCCCACCCACTCATCCAACCTCCCATCCATCTTATCTATTTAAGAGCATCCACTTCCTGTGTGCCAGGCACCAACTGGCGCCTTGGCTCATGCATCAGGGAGCTAGGCTGGATGCTCAGGCTTACCCGGGGGAGGCTGCCGGTCCAGCTGGGAGTCAGGATGCATGGGATGATCGGGAAGTTGCTTTATTGCAGTGGTACCAGGTGCTGTAGTGACAGCAAGAAGATAGCTCCCCGACTGTCCAGGTTTATAGGTTAAACAAAGGCTTCCACAAGTGTCTCTTAAAATGTAGCCTGAAGGAAAAGAAGTTAGGCAGGGGAGAGTTCCAGAAACAGCTTCTGCATAGGTCCTGAGGATGGGAGTTCATATGTCCAGGTCTCAAGAATGAAAGCTGGACCAGAGGAACACCCATGAGTGAATTAGAGTCAAAGAACTTTGGGTTCAAATCCTACCTTCACTGCTTCTTAGCTGTGTGATGTAGGGCTTGACTATCAACCTCTCTGTGCTTCTGTGTTTTCATCTGAGTTAACTGTCACTGTCTGACCAGGACTGACTCCAGCCTTGGTGTGTGAACTGCCCCAGGGTGACCCAGTACTCTATAAATGGTCACTTGGCACCCAAACAGGACCCTGTTCAGGTCTCATTTGTGAGAAAGCAAACCTGGCCCTTGCTGGAACGTTTGCCGAGACCGCCAGGTGCAGCAAGCGGAAGGTTTAAGCGGTGGTGGCCTTGGTGGCAGACAGGACAGGGTGAAGGAAGCTGCCTGAGCACCCTTAGGGTGGAGGACAGCAAGAACGAGGCTGGGAGGTGAAGGCTGGCCCCCCGCCAGTGGAGGGTGGGGAGACAGAGGGTGGGGAGCTGCCCCCCCCCCCCGGCTCTGCTGTGGGGAAGGCCCAGCCCTGTCTGCTTCGTGTGGCCTTGACCTGCCCCTCAGATCTCCATCCAGTTCCTGGTGTACAGGAACCGCCCCACCTCGCCAGAGCACGAGCCCCTCCTCCACAGCTGAGCCCTGGACAGACGGACAGACGGCAGGGACCTCCCGACCCAGCTGCCCCCTGCCAAGCCCCAGTCCTTCCGGACCTTCCCGACGGACTCAGCCTTCCAGACGCAGGATGGCCTCCACAGACAAGCCTCCCCAGGGAGCCTGGCCGGACCCAAGGCGCCCTTTCCGCTACCTCATTCCACCCGCACGTCCTGGGGGCGGGCCATGGGCCCCCTCCCCCACACAGCCATTGACTCCACACCGACTAGTAAACGGCACTCCCCGGCCCGGAGCCTGCGTCTGCTGCTCCTTCCTGGGGTACTGGCCTCTGGGCTTCTGGTGGGACACGGTGGCTGGCAGGGACCAGGCCGAGCCCAGATCAGCCTCCGGGGCCCGTGGTTTCTTTGGCTGAGTGTGTTCTCTCTGGCCGTGGGGACGCAACCCTGCTTCAGGGCAGGTCAGGAGCAGCAGGTGGACACGTCTTGGCCCACGCTGGCCATTAGCTCATCGCCTGTGGGTGGACAATGTGAGGGTCATGCATCCCTCTGGAGGATTAACTGGGAGGGCCGCCAGGCTAGCGGGGACGTGGGTTCCCTGGAGGTGGTGCCAGGAGGTGCCAGAGGAAGGAGGTGGGCGGGGCTTGGCCCTGAGCTGGGCCTTCTGGGCCCCAGCTTCTCTGCTCTCCTGACCCTGTTCTGTCCGGTCGCCAGCCTGCGCGTGTCTGCCAGCAGAGGGGCCACCTGCTGGCCTGGTCCCAACTCTGCCCACCTCCCTGCACGATCAGAAGCCAGGCCTGTCTCCTGCCCTCAGAAAACATCTAGATGAGCGCTCCGAAGCCCAATCTTCCCCAGCCTTCCAGGCTTGGACTGGAGTCATGTGTGGGGGCGGGGCTGGTGGACCCCGCTGGCTGCCCCAGCCCTTGGCACTCGGCCCAGGAGGGCCTGGGCACAGGCGTCCTCAGCCTGCTCATCCCGTGGGACCACGTGTGGCCTCCAAACAGCATGCTGATTAAATGAGATGTGAGTATAGACTTAAGCCCTGCCTGGCACGTGGCCCACGGGTAGTCTGTCCATCCCACCTGAAGCGGCTGTGGTGTGGTCACAGCGGCATCTCTGGTGTCTTTCCCTTTTCTCTCTGGCCCACCTCTCTCGGTGCGGCCTAAGGAGTGGATGCTTCACTTTCAGGTTTAGGCTCAACTGCAGAAACAACTGTACACCTGAGGCCCTTGGGGGGGGGGGGGCTGGTCAGCCTAGGTGGCTCCAAAGGTGCATGTCACGGTGGGTTATATGTAAGCATTTGAGACATGCAATCCAGGCTGGTCTCAAATGCATCCTCCTGCCTCCGAATCCCAAATGCTGGGATTCCAGGTATGTGCTTCCATGCTCACCTGCAGTATGTTAACTGTGGAATGAGGTGTCCCATATAAAAAGCCTTGCTCAGGGTCTTGCCTGCCACCCAGCAGATAGAGGCTTTGCCTCTCCGAAGTCCCAGGGATAGAGAGAGTGTGGGGCAGGAGAAGCTGGCTGCCAGGTACCATCTCCACATGTCTGCAAACTGTCAGGCCCTCCCAGGACAACTTTCAGTTCCCTCCTTCTCCAGAAGGGGGCGCAGCAGCTCGCCCGTGGTACTTTTGCCTTCCCCTAGAGGCCCAAGGTCTGGAGGTCATCATGGCCATGTCTGTGGTCCTGGCAAGCTATAGCTTTCTGCCAGACATTCTCCCATCCCACCTGGCCTTCACAGGAGCTGAGGGGTGGGACCTGAGCTCTTGGGAAGCAGCTTGGTGCCAGCCCCATGGCTAAGTACTGATCTAGCTCTGCCGGAGCCAGTCCCGAGGACACAGTCGCCTCTCCTGCCCACACTCTGAACCTCGCCACTGGACCAAGACCAGCTCTCACGATCAGCACTGTATCCCCAGCAGAGTAGGCAATGCCTGAGGCATCGAAGGATTCTGGCTTCAGTGAAGGAGACAGGCAGATCTTCCCCCCCTCCCCCCAGGACAACTGCTTTATGTGGGTGAAATGCATGGTAGATAAATGATAGCAAATCGGCTATTATTAAAATCTGAGTGGGAAGGTAGGGGGAGTGAGGATATAATTCCATCTTGCCACATTTGTGAGTCTTTACCTTGGACTCAGAAACTACCAGTCAGCAACCAGAAAGATTTCATTGACAGCTGGGAGGGTGACACCACCTACTTTTTCTAAGGATCCTTTCCTGAAAACTTACCCCGAGTTGGAAACACTCAGTGAGGCCGATTACCTGATGCAATATTTTATATGCTAGAGACAGTCAACCGCCATGGTTGTGTTTCAGAAATGTCACATCTTTACAATTTGTACTGAAGCGATACAAATTATAACCAATTTATAAAATGAGAGAAAGACTTAATAGCTCATCTATTCTCCCAAGAGGCACAGTGAAAATGTGTAACAAGATCAAGTGTAGTGGATCTTAACTGTACTCCTAGCATTCTGGAGGCTAAGGTAGGACTAAACTCGGGAATTTGAAGCTAGTCTGGACTACAGAGACCCCATCTGATGAAAACTGAAATAAAGCGAAATGTCTAACAGTTCTTACTCAAAATCTCTGTAACTGAGTGGTTTTCACTTTGTTTTGTGCTAGTCCTGAGGCTTGAACTCAGAGCCTCTCCTTCACCTTTTTTGTTCAAGGTTGTACTCTACCACTTAAACTAGGCCCATCTGGCTTTTTGCTGGTTAACTGCAGACAGTCCCACATACTTTCCTGCTTGGGCTAGCTTCAGATCACAATCCTCAAATTGCAGATGCTTGAGTAGCTAGGATTAGAGGCATGAGCCACCAGCACCTGGCTGGGTGATTAAAAAAAAAAAAAAAGTAACTGCTGGGCACCGGTGGCTCACACCTGTAATCCTAGCTACTCAGGAGGCTGAGATCTGAGGATTGTGGTTCAAAGATAGCCCAAGCAGGAAAGTCCATGAGACTATTATCTCTAGTTAACCACTAGAAAACCACAAATGGAGCGGTGGCTCCAAGTGGTAGAGTACTAGCCTTGAGCACAAAAGCTGAGGGACAGCACCTGAGCTCTGAGTTCAAGCCCCATGACTGACAAAAAATTACATATATATATATGTATAAAAACAATGTATACAAATTATATCCAAACTATAAAACAAGAAAAAACAGAACTATTTAATAGACCACCTACTCTCCCAAGAGGCACAAAGTAAAATCTGCAACAAGGTCAAGTATGGCAGCTCTTTCCTGTAGTCCTAGTATTCTAGAGACTGAGACAGGAAAAAGCCCAGGAATTTAAAGCTAGTCTGGACTACAGAGATCCCATCTCACTAAAAAAAAAAAAAAAAAGGAAAGAAAGCAAAATGAGTAATAGTTCTTACTTAGTATCTCCACAGCTGTTTTGTTTTGGTGCTGGGACTGGGGCTTGAACTCAAGAGCCTGGCACCTTTTTTGCTCAAGGCTGTTGCTCTACCATTTAAACCAGGTCTTAGAAAAACAATCTCAGACTTTCCCACCTGGGCTGGTTTCAGACTGCAACTCTCAGACCTCAAGTCTCGCGAGTAGCCAGGAGCGCATGAAGCGCATTAAGTGGTTTTTTTAGTAGACACAATATGACAGTACGTGGTGAAGCTCATGTGCTCCACCTTACCTGTGGCAGAATTTGAATGCACCTTTAGCATATACACTACTTAGCTTACAATATTTACACAACTGACAACGAACGTTCTGTGGCATGAGGCAGATAGCTGCAGAGGCAGGGGTGTTGCTCAGTGCTGGCAGTGCAGGCTTGTTGTGAGTTCACACCACAGCCTCTCTCAGAATCCAGAAGTGGGCACCAGGAACCGGCTGGACACAACAGCAGCGTCCAGGGCTGGTCGGGTGAGTCCAGGCAGGCACCTCTGTTGGGGCCGCCTGCCCAAGGACCAGTCACCTCTTTGGCTTGCGTGGGTGCGGTGGCAGCCGCGGAACCCAGCGAAAGCACTCAGGACAGGGCTGTTTTCCCTCGTCTCTGCCAGGAGCACTGTGGGTATGGCTCAGGAAAAAGAGGTGTCAGAGCTGCACTGGAGCCTGGGCCGGCGTCTCTCGGGAGGGAGAGTGCCTCCTAGCGGAGACTAGCCCATGAAGAGTGGGGAAGGCCCTGCCACGCGGGAGAAACGACCTTGTGCACTGCAGGAAGGACGGTGGGACCAAAAGCGAAGACGCGCCTGGCACCGCAGATCATGCTGGGATCCCAGCAACTTGAAGGGTGAAGAGAAGAGGCCTGCGGTCTGAGGCAGTCCTGAGCAGAACGTGAGATCCTCACTGAGAAATAACTGCAGCGCGCAGGGGTTTTGTGTGTGGCTCAAGTGGTAGCGTGCTTGCTGTGCTGGTTAGAAACCACAGCACCGCACACACCATTATTACCTTCATCTGGCCAGGGCTGTGGCCTTCCCCTCTTTTCAGTGAGGGTTGCTGTCCCACCTAGGACCGTGGGAAAGCCTGGAGGGGAAGGGTTTGCCTCGTGGCGGGTGGCGATGCCTGCAGCCGCGGGGCACGAAGGAAGTCTTCACCAGGGCCGACTGCAGCCCTGGCCGTGGGCGCAGCTCCCCCGCGGCTGCGGCCAGGTGTGCGGGCGCAGGGAGAGCAGGTGATGGGGGAGGGGTCCCATCTCCGCGGGCGCCTTGGTCACGCCGCGTGGGCAGGGAGTGGCAGGAAAGCAAGAACTCGAGGCTGGCGCTGACTGCGTCCCGGTTTCTTTTATTTATTTATTTATTTTTGTTCTTTTTTTTCCTTTTTTTTTAAGTATGGAGGCTCAAGTATAAGATGTAGATTTTTTTTAAGCTTTACAAAAAAACAAAATAAAACAAACAAACAAAAAAAAAAAACTCCTTTTGCATTCCATAAAAATTGACAGAAAAGCACCTGGCCAAAAGAGCAGACGGTCGCCCGCCCCACGCCGCCCCGCCCCGCCGCAGCCTCCGAGCCGGGCCTCCGCACCGCGGTGCCGGGTGCCCGTGCTCCAGAGCGGCCCCTGCCCCAACCCCAAGCAACCCCCAAACACACGCGGAACCAGATTTCCAGTTTTCATCTTTCACACACCACAGTTATTTCATAAAATTTTTTTGTTTTACATTTTTTACACCAATGTAACAAAAAGGTGGGAGGGAGGGTGATGGTGTATTATGCCTGTAAATGGGGGGGGACCCAGGCGCACACACACGCACGCACGCATGCACACACACACACACACACACACACACACACACACACACGGGCTTTTATGGGGACATTGAGTTTCGGTAGCAAAACGTGGTGGGAAGCAGGCGCGGAGCCGGAGGAGGGGTCATGGGGTTTATTGTGGGGAGGGATGGCGCTGTGCGGCGGACGATGCAGTTGTTATGTGACCTGTCTGGGAGGAGGGGGGGGAGGGGAAGGGGAGGGGAGGGAGGAAGAAGGGAGCAGAAAACGAGTTTTCTAAGAAAGGAATCTAATGAGTGCATGGCGTGTCCGATTAGCGTGAAGCAGAGGTTTAGCATTGCTGCTTTCTCTTCAAAGCCTCCACCAGGTCGTTCTTCAGCGCTTCTTGTTTTGATTTGTCTGCAAATGTCTGCACAGACCTGTGGGGAGGGAGGAAGGTGCCTGAGAACAAGGAGAGGCGTGCCGGCACCAGCTGGCACCCACCTTGGAGGCCAGGCGGGTGCAGAGGGCTGAGTGGCACCTCGGCACCCGCCAGGCTGCAGGAGACCAGGCCATGGCAGCCACCAGGGGCGCCGCGGCTCAGGTGTGGGCATAAGCCATGCGGTGGAAGCACTACGCAGCCGAGGCCCCCGCCTGCTAGACCTTCAAGGGCCTGGCTCCTCATCACACAAGACCCGGCAGGCCTGCACCTGCGCACGCCAGGCCGCACGGCGCTGGGGACACACAGCAAAGCGGCTGGGCTTCCAGTGGGCAGCTCTGTCGGCTGCTCATCAGCCTGGACCCTAAAGGGGCAGCCCCTGCAGACAAGACCTGGAGTGGTGGGGAAGCACTTTCCACCACGCCAGGAGCAGAGATCGTGGACATACAGTATGTAAAACACAACACGCAGACAGCGCCTTCCCGCATGCCACCTCGCTCAACCTCACCAGCATCTCGGGAATCCTCATTATTCGTCAAACTTACCCAACATCGCTTAGCTGCGGATTTACTGAACTGTGGAAATCACATTTTAACAGACAGGCAGCAGAGGGGCAAAGAGGGGCCACAAGGCTCAAGCTTGATTCACATTGTAGAAGAGGAAGGAGCACAGGAAATGGGGGGGGGGGGGGGGAGTTCCATCTACCAAGTCCTGGTATGGAACAGACCCCATGCACCAGAAAAGGCGCCCCCTGCTGGCTGCCGGGGCTCAAGCCAGCACAAAGACCAGACGGGCTCGGGGCCTCAGTCCAGCGGCATGCTGACCCCAGGCAGGCCACTGCCAGTCCCCCCCCCCCCCCAGCTGTTAAAAAAGCAGGGATGCCGACTGCTTCCCTCCATCTGTATCTGTCACAAGCTCAAGTCATGGTTCCTGGCCACTGTCAATAAGCAAAGACTGTTTTCATTTCCACCCCCGTGGCCCGCACAGGACAGCTGCAGCTCGTTAGGGGAAAGGTGGTGCTGTTCTCCGCAGCATGGGCACTGCCTGGCCGAGGCCTGCAAGCCGAGCCGGGCCGGGCCGGGCCGGGCCGGGCCATCATGTGGCACAGGAGACAGGCACACACACACAAGCAACTACTCGGGGGGTGGGGTGGGGGATTGTTAGTGCCCTGGCCGGGGCTTCTTCAGAACAAAAGCCCAAACCAGGCATCATCTCACAGTGCCACGCACACACTCCACACACGTGACCCGTGTCTGTTACGTGGGGCTGAGGCTACACGTTAATGTGGCTGCTCCACCGGCCACGAGCAGGACGGGGTTAGTGGCGGTTTAAATGGGCACGCAGCAGCCTCCGGCTGGCCGAGCTGGTGGGTTGGTTGGTGAGTCCCGTTTAGTGGGGAGGCCTTGCGCCCCGCGGGCGGGGTACCTGGATCGGCTTAGTTATCAGGCTGGATGTAGACCTGGCGCTGGGTGAGCACCTGCGAGAGCTCCCTCTGCAGCTGCTTAAACTTGTGGTTGTCGGGGAGAGCATCAAGAGATCTACAGTGTTCAGAGGGAGGAGCGGGAGGAAGAGAGAACAGCGATGCACAGCCTGGCCGCCGAGGTGGAGGAAGTAGTCTACACGTGGAGGAAGTAGTCTACACGTGGAGGAAGTAGTCTACGCTGGCGTGGCCCTGGCTGTCAGGGATGCACACCCCATATCCCGGCCACTGGCGGGGGCTGAGGCCAGCCAGGCCGGGGGGTGGGGGGGAGAGGGGGGCAGAAGGTGGTACAGTTGCAACCCCAGACATAGGCCACCACAAGGCCCACAGGACCCTTGGCTGATGCAGGCCAGGGAGGGCTTGTGAAGGGGCTGCCCTGCCCCCGCCTTATTCTAAATGTGAAACCTGCCTCCTGGACCAATTCTCAAGCCAAGGCGACTCCCAGGGCTGTGCCTGCCTTTCTGGTCCTGTCCTGACATCTGGGCCAGGGAATGGGGTTCAGGCACAGCAGAACACCGGGGCTTGAACGGGGGAGCAGGCTGCAGGATGCTCGGTCGGCCCCAGCTTGGAACCTGTGGGCAGCGCCTCCTGGTCCGGGTGAGGGCTGCTGAGGCCTGGGGCTACCCAACTTGCAGGAGACAGGCCAGTGCTCCCGCTGACCCTCGGCTGCTTCTCCTACCAACTAGGTTTGGCCTCCTGTTCAGAACACCGTGGGCCTTCTTCACCCTCCAGCTTCTGCTTGGTGGCCATGCAGAGTCCAAAGCACAACATGGCCAGGTGGAGTTCGGGGCCCTGGGCACAGCCAACAACCATGGCAGAGGGCACAAAGTGGTGGTGGTGGGTCTCTACCTGTGCCAGATGCTGCTGCTCTGAAGCCTTGGTCAGCCAGAGGCTAGGTCGGGTTGGGGTAGGAAGAGTCTGCGGCTGGGCCTAACTAGCAGGGGGGTAAACCAGAAGCTGCCGAGGTGAGTGAGCGAAGGAACCTCAAACTACTGAGAATACAAACTGCAAATACTAAGTTCTAAACCTTGAAAACTTACGTGGAAATCCCCAGAGTGGGTATGTGAGGGACGAGGCTGAGGCACATGGACACAGAACCAGGATTCATAGACCTTTTTGATTCCAAAACTTCAACTTTTTGGTACATTACCTCAGCCCGTTGACAATATCCTTTGTTTTCCCAAAGTAGATCTCATTCAGTGTACTTCTGATTTTATTTTCCATGTCCTGGAAAGGGAGGTTGGTCAGCCAGGATGGCAAACAGGAATCCTAGGCCCCGCACCCCACTCGCCACCAGCTCACCCTGTGGTCCCCGCTGTGGCCACACGGGGGAGACACAGGACTGCTCCTCTGCCAGGACCCCATCTACAATTTGTGCTGAGCCTTTCCTGCTCTTAGGCATGAAGGAAGCCAACACCTAGGGACTGACAGCCAACTCTGACCACTACTGGGAGCTGGTCTAAACCACATCACCACCCCTCAGCCTGGCCATCAACTACGGGAACAATTCTGTGAAACCGGAGAACACTTCTCCGCTTCCAAACTGTGGCGACAGGCAAGGCCTTGAGCCCAACTCAAGCTGCTCCAAGGCACGCCCGTGTTCCAGGGATCTGCTTCCGGCCCAAGCTCCAGTCTGTTCACACCCAGTGGATTGAGGCAGACAGGATTTGGCTCTCGCTTCCCAGAACCAGGACAGAGTGCAGTCCTGGGGGCATGTGTGGGGCAGTGTGTATGGGGGGGGGGGGGGTGGCCCAGACTTGGGGGACCCCAAGCTGGGGTGGCAGGCACACGCTTCCCGGGCTGCAGAGGCACAGGTGTGAACCCCAGCCCTGAGTCCTGTCGCCCACTCACCTCTACCAGGCGCCCGATATTGGCTATGTGTGGGGAGCAGTCGCTTACAGTTTCATCTTTCTCCATCTGCAAAACCAAACCAAACCAAACCCAAGTCAGAGAAGGCAGCAGCTCCCGAGAACACGGCCTGACTGCGCGGCCACCTCTGTCCTTTGTGAATAGATGACGGTTCCTGCTGGTGGCGCTGTGGAAGCCACGCATCGATGGCTACAAGGACACGTTTCTAGCACAAAACCACCGAAGAAATGTCAGGTCACAAACAACCCAAGCCTCACTTCTGGGGGAATCTGCTGCGCCTGGAGACGCCTTGCTGTGCCTGCCCAAGGCACAGGCATTTGATTTGGGACCTGGGGAAGCTGCCGTGTACTGTGTGGGGAGGGACTGCCAGCCTTGGCAGAGGAAAGGCCGGACGAGGCTAGGGCCATGAAGTGACTATGCATGCATGCAGGGACCTGGGCAAACCCCTATTTTAGAACCTGCCCTGGTCCATTTGAAGATGGGGGCGGGGCTACAGCTATACCTGACAGGGCTTGGGAAGCCTCAGGATCCCAGTTTTAATACTTAGTTCTTTGACAAAATCCTTCCTCCCTCCCCCCCCCCCCCCACCCCGCTCCCGCCACCCTACCCCATCTCCTTTCCTCCCTCCCACCAGTACTAGAGCCCTCACACTCTGGCTTGGCTTTTTTTTCAAGGCTGGCCCTGAGTCACCCTCCACTTCCAAAATTGCGACTTTTATTGTTGTTGCTGTTGTTGGTTGTGGGACTTGAACTCTGGGCCTGGGTGCTGTCCTTGAGCTCTTCAGCTTAAGGTTAGGGCTCTACCACTTGAGCCACAGCACCACTTCCGGTTTCCTGGACTTTCCTGCCTGGGCTGGCTTTGAACTGTGATCCTCAGATCTCAGCCTCCTGGGTAGCTAGGATTGCAAGCATGAGCCACCAGCGCCCGGCTTTCCAAAACTGAGACTTTTTTAAAGGAGAAATTTGCCTGTTTTCAAGGGTACCTAGCAGGAACTCTAATTATGTAAGTGCTCACATTGCTAAGTCATTGTTGAGATACAACGCACAAGCTGGGTAAGTAGCAAGAAGCAGGAAGTAGGCTGGTGTGGTGTGGTGTGGAGGTGTATACCTCCAACTCAGCACTGGGGAGACTGAGGAGAGAGACTGGGGAGAGTTCCAAGTTTGAGGACAGCCTAGACTATATGGTAAAAGCCCGGCCACCCTGGGCGAGTGAGAGCATTTTGAATAATAACAAAAAGGAAGTGTGAAGAGAAAACCATTATTAGGATGGTGAGAGGCCAGAATTACAACAGTACAGACTGGAAAACGAAAGCAAATCAAGGGCTGCCATTTTTGGAGAGGAGGAAGAAGCCAGGGACCAAAGGCTCATCACAGCCAGGGCCACAAGTGAAGTCAGGTGAGCAGCTCAATGTCTGTGCACCCGAGCCTTGTGCTTCAAAATTAACAGGCACCTTTCAACAAAGAGGTGGAAGCCACTGGACTCTTAAAGGAGAGATACCGGGGGTCAGGGGCAACAGATGGACTTCCGGGAGCACAGGGGCCCCTATGCCTTGGACAGGGAATTCAAGCCCAGTAAAAAGGCTCAGCAGGGGCTGCGGGAGATAGGCCAGGCATGAGCAGCAGAGCTCCTGGCACCTAGAGGCAGTTTCCATGGCCCCTTTCCCCCCGCCCCAGCTCCCCTCCACACCTGGCCAGGGTCAGCTTGCTGGCAATGCTGACCCACCAGAAATAGAACTATTTTTGTAATGCATATATTATTACATCCTTATAAAAGTGGCTGCCAGAAGTAAAACATTTTTATGTTCTGTGGCCACACAGATGTTCCGTAAGGTAGTTCCAATGAGTCTGGAGTCTGCCCAGCCCTCCTGTCCCCAACGAGCCCCTCTCCTCTCCATGGCCAGTCTTCAAGCGGAGGAGGTCTCTCCTGACAGAGTGGCATCACAAAGCCCTGTTTGCTCCCTGCCCTAGAGCTAGAAGAGCCCCGGCTGGTCCCAGTCCTCCACCTCTTGTCTGTGAACTAAGGTACACAAGAGGCAGAGCAGTGTCTGGTGGGCTGGGAGCGTGTTCCCCCTGGCAGCACAGGGCCAGTTCCAGGACCCTTTCGTTCCTGAGGTCTGGACAGCTGCCTCCTTGTGTTGTGGGCACAAGGCCAGGTAAGGCCAGGATGGAAACTGCTACGAAGGCACAAGTAAAGCAGCATCCCAAGAGAGGTGGGCCTGTCCGGTGCAGGTACAGGGACTGAAACTGTACATTCTAGATCTGCACCAACGACAGTATACAACAGCATTGTGGAAGTGGCACCGACTTTCAAAACCGACTTCACCAACTCAGGGAGGGTCAGTTCAGATGGCGAGGCGGAAATCTTGCTTTCTTCTAGACCTTCATGTGCTTCGCCAGAAAAGCCAAGGACAAACCACCATCCCGGGTCCAAGCAGGGCCCACCCCAGCTGCACCTGCCTCCTCCAAGCACCGCCAGCCCCTTCCCAGTCCCACAGGAGGCAGCTCCCACCAGCCTGCCTTCTGGGTCCGTGTTCCTCACTCCTAGGGGCCATGTTCCCCTAGCTAACACACCCTGGCCCTGCCCACCCTAGATTCTGCCACTGAAAGGAACCACGGGCTTTGTCCCCTGAACAAAATCCCTGCCTGACCTAACCACCAGGCCCAGGTGCGGTGGGCCTCTGCCGCAGGGCCCGGGTGAGGGGGAGGCATAGCGCCGCCTGCCCACCGCCGTCTGACCTCCCTGTCCACCCGCACTCCACCCTCGCGGCTAAATATTTAGAATTGGTGAAGAATATCAAACCAACATCTGCACGGCCCTCCCTCCCCAGGAGCCCTTGGATCTTTCCAGACCTCTGGTCTGCTGCTTTCCCGTGCCTCTGCTGCCACCTGGCAGAAGTGGCCTTGGTGCCACAGGCCTTTCTGCAGGTCCACCACCTCCTGTGGGGGCCCACAGCAGCCTGCCAAGGGGCACCCCCCAGTGGCCTCTGCCCTGGCAGAGGAAGAGGTGGGTGGCTCCCGGCCTTGCCTCCCAGCCCCCTCAGCTGCAGGCCAGTCAACACTCCATCTCCTCACCTTCCTAACTTCTGTGTCAAAGACAACCTTGGGCAGTGGTAGCCAAAGGCCATGGAGAGGGTGGGCCAGGATGAAGGAAGTTCACAGCAGGGTGTGTCCAGCTAGCTGGGGAATGCAGCTGCAGCCCTGGGGCAGGCATCAATCACCAGAACCTGGAGGTCGCCCTCGCACTCCTGCTGGGGGAGTTGGGGGGAGGCAGGCAAGGCTTTCTGGCTGCTGCTGTTGGCGTGAGTGCCTGGGGCCACACACAGGCAAGGTGGGGGGGGGGGGCGTACACCCACAGTGCACCCACAGCTGGCCGGGAGGCTCGCAAGGCCAGTGCTCAGTATGGGGACTGAGGGAGACGGTGCCCCCCTCCTCCACCCACGGGCCTTCCTTCCTGCCGCTGTCCGGGGACGTGGGGGTGACTGTAAAGAGGCCACAGGCATACAGTTCTGACCACCCCACCTCCACGTCTCCCAATGCCTCCCGCCTCACCCTTCTTTATTCTCACCCCACCACAGGCTTGCCTGCCCTACCTGCTTGTGTGTGTGGTGGTCAGGGGAGCAGGGCATGGTGGGGGGCAGGCCTCACCACCTTTTCCTGGACAACTCTTAACAACCTTGTCAGCCTGGCCTGATGCTGGCTGGCAGAGCCATCTCCTGAAATGCCAGGCCCCACGTGGCCTGGCGCAGGGTCTGGCCAGTCCATTCGCCTCTCCATGCCTATCTACCAGCCACACAAAGTCAAACCAAGTAAGTGTGGCCTGGTAGAAAGAGCAGGTATTCCTGCCTGACAAACCTGGGTTCAAATCCTGATACTGACTTACTGGTTAAGCGATCACTTAACCACAGGAGCCTCAGCCTGGGTCTGTCAGATGGGTGGGGCAGCTCTCCCTGTTCACAGCCGCATAACCCTGTACCTCACTGATCCCTCATTCACTCTGCTTTCCTGGAACCCCTTCATCTCCCATCCAAGACAAACACAGGCATTTTTCCAGGGCTCATCTGGGACCCGCAACGAAGCCCCTCAACCCCAATTTCCTCTGCTGGCTTAGAAGCTGTGCACCGTTAACGTAAAACTATCCACCTCACAGTGCCCCATGCCCCCTCCCTACTTACAGGGGAGGGGAGCCTCAGGGCTAATGCAGCTCAGCTGGGCGAGGGTCCAGCCAGAAGAGCCATGGCAGAGCATGCATTTCCTCACTAGAGCCCCAGGAGCAAAAGGCAACACAGACAAGGCCCTTGGCCCCAGCCGAGGTGTGGTGAGGACGGCTGCTCACCAGGCCCGAGTTTGGCTTGGCAGGGCCTCTGCTCACAGCAGGCCGGAACCAGACTCTGGTTGCGGGCTGACAGCTCTGACTGAAACCATTAGGAAGACTCAGGATTAATATTTGTGCAGGTCACTGTCCACCGGATGGAAGTTATCCACAGTTCCATGCGGCCAGGATGCAGGAAGCAGTCTCCAGATGCAGAGTTTCCCAGCCATTCTGTGTGTGTGTGTGTTGAATGGATCTGCTTGCTGGAGGGGGGCAGGGGTTGGTAGGCCTGTCCCGTCTCCACCAAAGGTCCTCATCTATGCAGACGACAGGGCTCTGGCCTGGGGTGGACACAGCGCCCCCCCATCCCGGGTGTGCAGGCCAGCGCCTGCCTGGCAGCACCACGTTCCCAAATCTGTCACTGACAAAGTTAGGAACCGCACCCTTTCTGCCGTGCATTTCTATCAAGAGCTCTCACATGGGTCAGTATCATCGGTTTTTGGTGCTGGGGACGGGCCGGGGCTTTACATGTGCCAGGAAGCCCTCTTCCAGCAGGGCGTATCCCAGCCCAAAGCATCACTATCTTACTGAAGGGAAAAAAAAAATCTTTTGATACTGAGGGAAATTGTCAGTCAAAAGCCACTCAGAAGTGGAGGGGTTCCGTGCAGCAGGCACTCTGGAGCATTGGCCAGCGCCATTCCTCCCTCCCCCCCCCCCCCCCCCCCACACACACACAAGGGCAAAGCTCAGTTCTTCACAAGCCGCACATCTTGTTGCCTGTTGCCTGCTGTAGTTTCCTGCACTGGGCAGGCCCAAGGAAAGGCCCATTTCAGAATGGGATAGGTGTGAGGGGTCTCCTTCGGTGGGCTGCAGGGTCTGAAACCTGCTCAGATGCTTTCAGCAGTTCTCATGCAGAGGTTAAGGCAGTCTGCCCCAGGGGCAGGCAGCGCCTCCTCAGGTGAGCTCCCAGTTCAGCCTGGCGAGCTCACACCATCCCAAATTCTAACCACATGTGGAACTTCCTGGAGGATTTTGTTAGAAGGCATATCTTGCTAGGCACTGATGGCTTACACCTGCAATCCTAGTTACTCAGGAAGGCTGAGATCTGAGAAGCACAGTTTGAATCCAGCCTGAGCAAGAAAGGCTGTGAGACTTTTATCTCCAATTACCCACCAAAAAGCCTGCAGTGGAATTGTGGCTCAAGTGATAAGAGTGCCAGCCTTGAGCTCAGGGACAGTGCCCAGGCTCTGAGTTACACACCCACCCACACACACGCGTGCAGATCTTGATGAATTTCTCAATTTCAAATATGCTGGTGACACTGATGCTTGGCCTCAGGTATAGCTGGTGATGCAGAGACCTGGACTGCACAGCAGCTTACAGAAAGTTGACCAGATGGAACAGTGGCTGCCCCTGGCCATACAAATGGAGAACTCTTAAAAGCACCGCATGAGCTGTGGTTGAGGAATGAGGTGGTGGTGAGCCCTGGTGAGGGAGAGGAAACGAGGCGAGTGTGCAAGACCCTTGTCCTACCACAGTGGGAAGCCAGCTGGGCAATGGCAGAGATGCCGGAAAGCCCTGGACATTGTATTTCTAGGTGGGGTAAACCGCAGGGGGTCAGCTCTGAGGCTGGCGCTGCGGCACCTGCGGCTGGCTGAGAGTGGGAACCGCACCTGTCTGGTAAGGCTGCCTCCGAGGTTCATGGTGCCCGAGCCGGATTTGTTGGTTTGCAGCCACAGCATCACCGTGGAGGTCAATTTGTAATGGGCAGTGCGGCCACTGGACTTCTCCTGAAGGGGATACAATGGAGATCAGAACTGGGGTACACCTGAGCAGAGGAGGGCCTGGGCCTTGTGTGTGGCCTCTGCAATCTGGGGTCAGTCTATCTGCCCCCCCTTAAGTCATCACCACACCACCTCCTCCCCTATAAAATCCCAACTTGTTTTTAAAGGGGCAGAACCTCAATTCATGTGTATTAAGCTTTTTTGGGATCTGTAGGGTGATTGAGTGAAATCTTGACTCATCTTTATCCAAAAAGGCTTCAGGGATCCGCAGAGGTTCCGTCCCAGCAGCACCTGTGCCCCTCGAGGTCATGGGGAGGGTCGGAGCTGCGCTGTGGGGTAGGGGGACCGTACCTGCACCTCCACCACATGGATGGAGTCCCAGCAGCCTTTGATCTTCTTTGATCCGTCTCCAGCCTTCTTTATGAGAATTACTCCAGCAAAGCCATGATCCAGATCCCAGAGGTAGACAGATGAGACGCCACCTTCAAAATACCTGAGGGAGACAGGCCCAGGTGCCCGTTAGATGAAGTCAATTCCTGACCCTGGTCCCGGCTGTTCCTCAGCAATACAGCACCCAGATGATGTCCCTAGAATTGAAGGACCTAGGACTGAAGACCACCTGAGGCCAGGGCAGTAGGCTCATCCTTGGTTGGGAGAGATGTGTGGTACTATTTTGGTTAAGAGAAAAATATGGATGTAAGGAATCACCAACTTGAGTTTGACCTTTAAGTCCTTAGCTAGCTCAACTAAACTTTTCTGGGCTTTGGCTTGCTCCTAGATAAGGACCCAGCAGTGTGTGACCCATAGCAGACAGTTGATGGAAGCCACTGCTACCACAGTACTTACTATTATCAACAACTGTTCAGTATTTAGCTTTTTTTTTTTTTGGTGGGTCGTGGGACTTGAACTCTGGGCCCTCAGCTCTTCAGCTCAAGGCGAGCACTCTACCACTTGAGCTACAGCGCCACTTCCGGTTTTCTGGTGGTTTATTGGAGATAGGAGTTTCATGGTCTCTCCTGCCCGGGCTGGCTTTGAACCTCGATCCTCAGATCTCAGCCTCCTGAGTAGCTAGGATTACAGGCGTGAGCCACCAGTGCCCGGCTAGTATTTAGCTTTTGAGGAAGCTATCTGACAGGACAAAGGGGAAAACAGCAACAAGCCCTTTCTTCCAGACCAGGATTCTCTCTCTTTTTTTTTTTTCTGGTTGTAGGGCTTGAACTCAGTGCCTGAATGCTGTTGCTGAGCTCTTTTTTTTTTCTTTTTTTGGGTCCTGTCGTGGGGCCTGAACTCTGGGCCTGGGTGCTGTCCCTCAGCTCTTCAGCTCAAAGCTAGCGCTCTACCACTTGAGCCACAGCACCACTTCCGGCTTTTTTCTTTTTGCTTATGTGGTGCTGAGGAATCGAACCCGGGGCCTCAGGCATGCAAGGCAAGCGCTCTACCACTGAACCACCTTCCCAGCCCCCCAGGACTCTCTTTGATCTTATTTACCACTAGCTAGAAAAACCCAAGCCAGAAATGAAGGGCTAAGCTTGGCAACACGGAAAAATTCCTAGTCATGACGAAATGGAGGGAAATAAGGGCCAGGAGCACAGGTGGTCAGTTTATACCTCAATCTGAGGTGACAGACAGAGGCCGCAGGAGCAGAGGTCCTGATGTGGCCTACTGAGCTGACATGGTCTCAAACTGATAATGCTGGGGACTCACACATCTCCTAACCAGCACATTCTCGAACAGAAAGATCTCAGGAAACCTGCTACTAGAGCAGCAGGCACCCCTTGCAACAGGCCAGGAGGGGAGGTACCATGTACACTGGACCTCATTCCTGACAGGCAGCTGCAGGGCATCAGGCATTTGTGGCCAGTGCCCACCGCCCCTATGGCAAGCTCTCCACATGGCTCATCCACTCAGCTGTGATTTGCTAAAGATGAACAACCAGGGGCCAGCTGTGTAAACCTGGGCCCAGAGGGATGACACACAGGTTATAAGAAGTAGACACTGACAATTACTGTGTTTGATATTAAAATTAAGCACTAAAATGTAACATGTATCTGTGGGTTATAGCCTAGTATAGCTATGAGAACATGAGTAAAAGGAACACAGAATTTTTTGTTCCCACATCTATAGGTTCTATTTCCTTGAATTCAACCAACTCTAAACTAAAAGTGCTTAAAAAAAAAAAGTCCATTATTTGGCCAGGTGCCAGTGGCTCATGCCTGTAAACCTAGCTACTCAGGAGGCTGAGGTCTGAGGATTGCAGTTCAAAGCCAGCCTGGACAGCAAAGTCCGTAAAATTCATCTCCAATTATTATAGAAAAAGGTGGAAATGGAGCTGTGGCTCAAGTGGTAGAGTACCACTCGAGCACAAAATTTCAGGCCCAGAGTTCAAGCCCCAGTACTGGCTTAAAAAAAAGCCTCTACCTGTATTGAACAAGCAGACTTTTTCTGTGGTACAAGAGCTGTTCACACAGCACACACAGGGTGCTGGGGCTGTGGGCCATGCTGTCACATACAAAAGCCTAGGGTGTCCGAGGACTCTGGTACCCACCAATGCCTCTCTGTGGCGAGGGCTGACTATGTTCTGTTCTTACAGTTTTACTGTACATCTAGAACTATTCAAGTGAAGCCATTTAGGCTGAGGGCCTCTGGCCTACACCAGCCCTGCAAGAGGCAGGGCCCCCAGTAGGTCATTCTGGAATGTTCCTGGGATGTGTACAAATGGACCTTCCTGCTGGACCTGAGGTCTTATGTTGCTCAACCTGGGAGCACGGGTTCCAGACCCCTTCTGGCTTGTCCTCACTAATGGTGGTGACTCCTTCAGGCCATGTGTCCACCTGGGAGGCCTGAGGGAACCCGAGTCCCCAGGAGCCCATCTGCTATCTGTCCTGTTGGTGTAGCTGGGCACTGATGGCTCACGCCTATAACCCAGCTTCTCAGGAGGCTGAGATCTGACGTTCTCAGTTCCAAGCCAGCCCAGGCAAGAAAGTCCTTAAGACTCTTATCTCCAATGAACCACCAGAAAACCAGAAATGGCACTATGGCTCAAAGTGGTAGAGCGCTCACCTGAGCAAAGAGAGCTCAGGGACAGTACCTAGGTCCTGAGGCCAAGCCCTGTGACCAACAGCAACAACAACAAAAGGTGATCTACCAAGGCCTCCCTTAGAGCCTGAATGTTGGGAGCGCAGTCCCACATCAGAGGGAGGAAAACCACCTTAAATCTACCTTAAACCTGTGGCTCTTCCCATGCTGAGACACAGGGCTGGGGCTGTTGGAAGCAGGCTTGGAGCCCAGGGCATTTTCTCCTTCTGTGTCCTGTGGTTTGGGAGCCGTAGTATCGCTCCAATCCGGGGCCAGCTCTTTGGAGTGCTGGGTTATTGGGGAGAGGCAGGGTCAGGCTGCCCTGGAAAGGAGCATGGGGAAGGCGGGAAGGCGGGAAGGCTGGGGTTTCATGGCCCTTGTTAACAACACTGGACACCAGTTCCAAAGTGCCAGTGGCCTAAGGTTAGTCTCTTCCCTTACTGGTCTGTTTTCTTCCAGAGAAACAGAACAACAGCGTTTATGTTTTATCGCGTGGAACTGGGTGTTGCCATGCCAACGGCCCCCCCCCCCCCCCCCCCCGTGGCCCTGCTCCTGCTTGCACTCCAGGCAGCTTCGCTCTGGTATCCTCAGCTTCCCCCGTGGCCACACGGTCACGCCTCAAATTTCCAAATGCTGGAAATCAAAGAGGTTCCAACTGCAAGCCAAAATGTGATCTCCCTGTGGGTCACTGCTCTGTTTCCCAAAACTTAAAAACTTACCGCAAGAGCATAAAAAGAAGGCAATTTAAAAATTGGCCACAGCCGGGCACCGGTGGCTCACCCCTATAATCCTAGCTACTCGGAGGCTGAGATCTGAGGATCCAAGTTCACAGCCAGACGGGGCAGGAAAGTCCGTGAGACTTTTATCTCCAATAAACCACTAGAAAACCGGAAGTAGCACTGTGGCTCAACGGGTAGCACACTCACCTTGAGCTGAAGAGCGCAAGGACAGCACCCAGGCCCAGAGTTCAAGCCCCATGATTGACAAAAAAAAACCCACTCAGAAAACTAGAAATGGCGCAGTGGCTCAAGTGGTAGAATGCTTGCCTTGAGCTGAAGAGCTGAGGGACAGCGCCCAGAGTTCAGGCCCCATAACTGACCAAAAAAAAAAAAAAAATTAGCCACAATACCAGAAACCAATGTACACCATAAATCTGAGTTTTCCAAAGTCCTTTCCAGCCCTCGTCCAGATGCCTAGTTTTTATATAACCCTAAGCACAGCAATGGGGCTGGATTAAGTTGGGTTTTCTTTCACTTGGCACCTAGTCACCAGCACTTTTCTGTGGAGCCCCGTTGGCAACAGCTGGGACAATATTCCACTGAGCAGGATCCTCACTTACTGGCGACTGGAGTTTTCACAGAGATGAAATGATGGCAGAGCAGGGGCGATGCTGCCGGCCACTCACCTGACTGTGTTCCATCTCTGAATGAACAGGGGTGTTCCCTGGTTGGGCAGGGCCCAACCGGGACTTGGTCTCCTTGGGCGCAGCCCAAACACCACAACAATTCAAGAATGGACTTGATTCCAGGCACCGAGAGGGACCTCCAGAGATGTGAGTGGCCACAAGTCTCAACGTGACACCAAGACAAAGGGAGAGAGAGGCTGCTTTGCAATCTCCCCAAAACATCAGGATCGCTGGCACTCACTGTCAGGACAGCTCCTGGCTTGGTCGGGTGCCGGTGACCGTGGGGGTGCACAGACAGCCCCCCATTACATGGTTTATGGTTTTACTCTGCGCGTGAAGCTTTAATTAAAGAGAGACCTCAACAAGTTTCTGAAAATATATCCTTACCTACTGTACTTTGATCATAATGACATGAAACAAGGAAAAAAATCATTTTTATGTGGTTTGCATTTATGAGTTTTTACATAAAGGCTTTTGTGGGTATTTTAAGAATGTGCTAAAATGTTGTTTGAAACCACATGAAGCCATCTGAGCAGTTGCCAGCCAGAACTAACAGCACACACATGGAAGTACTTTAACTGGCCTTTGTATATTTAATGAGTCAAATAGTATTAATATTGTTTAAATGATAACATGCTATTTCAATAAGGGGACTCCGCCATCACCAGTGACCCATTTCGAGTCTTGCACATCATCGTGAGTGAGCCATCAAATGTGGCCAAGCATGGAGGGCAGCCTCAGAGGATTGAACTTACCCTGCCTGCAGTTCTGCCAGTGCTCTCTATCCTTCAAACTCTCTCCAGGGAGGGAGAATGGGCCCAGGGATGGCTACCATAGCTCTGAGGCTGGGTTCAAAAGGGAAATCTTGGAGTTCTGGAAGTGAGGTCTCAATCAAAGAGGAATGCATGGGCTCCTCTCAGGCAGCACAGGGTTGAAATCACATGCGATCAAGACAAATGACCACACCGGAGTCCCCCAGCAGGACGACACGGTGACAGTCTCATGAAGACCAG